GCCAGCCCATATTATTATTGAATGTCAATAAAACACATAGGTAATATAGGTATATAATATGTAATATTTTATTTTCTGTTTCCTTTTAAAAACCACCCCTCTTTGTGTTTGTGTCATGACACGTACGGAACTTTAAGAGTGTTTTATGAGTTCCTTATAGGTGTTTAACAATACCACACCCAACTATTTGTTTTGTTGCACCATACGTAAACTATAACGCACTTCCTATTGAAAACTTTCGAATTAGCTACTGGCATGTTCATTAATAAATTGCGTCAGTTTCAAGGTTTTCGACCTAAGCTATGATCCAAGAGAACAACACACAATAACATTTCCTTAAAAATGTATATGACTTCACCTTGCTCTGTTTATTCACCCGTATCCGCTTGTTATACATAGTAGGTATATCGGTAAATTCCTAAACGTCAGAATATTTTTTATTATCACATGTCCGCACGCATATGCGTAAATCTAAAATAACATAATATTATCAGTACATGAATAAGTTTAAATTTCGCATACGTCTATATTTTATTAATTATACCTAGTATAGTTTTATTTTGTGAGTGTGATTGTAGGGATACTCACTTGGGTTAGCATTAATTTTCGACTGGACGTAGCGGTATTTTACGAATTTTGGATAAAGTTTATTTTTGCATGGTCTGCACGATGCTAGTTACTACAGTAAAAGTGCACGATAGTTAACTGTCACAAGACACGGTGTCCACAAGTGATAGTATATAAAATACATAGAATATAACTACAGTACTACAGTAAAATTAATTTTTATAAAATTTCTAAATTTAGACAAAAAAAATCTGTGGAAGTATCATGAATACAGTAAAATAGAACAATAATATGCCTCCCACACACTGTGATAATATTACCGTCATTCTTAATATAGTATCGATCAACTATTATGTATGTATGATATGCATGTGTGTTAGCATCTTTCACGATTTTTGAATAGTTACTAAATTGTCCTGTTCACATGACTATAGTTAAACAGTTGCTGTCGCAGTAATAAATTTCGTGATTATCACGATAGCAACTATTACTATTACTATATTAGTAAGGCTGTACTGTATTAAGTATATATATATATACAATATATATAGTATATATATATATATACAAGCGTTTATTAGTTTACATTTTGTTCGTAAACGTATAGAATGGGTATAACATTAATGTCCAGTGTCCACTTTAATGAACATTTTTATAATGTTATATTGTATTCTATAGATTATAGTAACCAAAAACAAAGTATTTTAAAATATCTTTATGACCTAGAAAAATAGATAATATCCATTTTTATAATCTTCTTAAGCTATACGAAGTACGAGAAACTCTGCGTATTTAATTAGGTACACGAGTGGTCCGTATAGAGATCACACAGAGAGTTGAAATTTGTTCGTAACCTATGTAGTTTTTAGATTTTAGATCGTATGTAATCTAATCTTTAAACAATTTACTATAAAAAAAAGTTAAATTTTAACCATTAATCACTATCATACAAACAGTGACATTATTATTTATTTCGTAATAATCTATATAAACGAAGAAATTGTATTGAATAAAATGACTAAAATTTACGTATCCCGGATATTATATTATACATCTGCAGTTAAACATTAATTATATAACTGCGTGTAGGAAGCTACTAGGTATTACATATTAATAAAACAAATTTACTGTTCCAACCGTTGGTTTAAGTTATAATATATTATGTAGAAATATCTATAAATATTAAGTATATATAAGTACTTAACTTATTATAATTTATAATACTATTAGTATTATGTATACTTTTTGTTATGATGGTATTTTTGAAGTTTATTTATCTTTTCCATTAGTTTAATTATTACGTCTGTATATTATACTAACTTATTGATTCTTGCGTAAGAATATTTTAAACAGAAATTTTATGAAACTATGATTCAGATAATGAGTAATGTCGTCTTGCACTTCGTTCGCCTTGGCCGGATTGAGCCCGGCAGTGCTACAATTTATATATTTTTAACTAGATTACTCATTTTTTTTTTTTTACTGAGATTACTGTTTGAGTATTTTTATTACTATATGCAATTAACCAACAGATTCTCGGTACATTTTCCAGAGGAAAAAAGTCGCGTTACTTTACAATACTAATTACTATAAAGATGTATACATCTAATGATACGTATACAAGTTTTCTATAATGCATAGAGATGTACTGCAGATGGAAGGCTATACAAATTTGGAACGTAATATTCTGTAACGCAATAATCTGGGACACATAAGAACTCGGACTGTAATTTTCCGGAGCGTGAATTTTAGAAAAATATCAATAGTTTCTAAAATATAATACTAGTAGAAATAATTATAATAATATTATGTTAATATGTTATTATATTAATAATCTGTAACTCAGACCCAGACTAACATGAGTTCAAAAATAACGATTTTCAGCTTATTACAATTTTGACATGTAAAATCTGTTTTTCATCGACCTATAATAATGTGGGTGGAATAAATAAGGTGTATCACTGTTATAGGTGGGAAACTGGGAAATTTAGGTACACGAAGTTGTTTAATTTATATCTATAATCAATGATAAACAAACACTAACGGAAAACGATTTGGAGCGAAATTCGGTTATACGTGTTTTGATAAATGGTTGCGTACAGATATATATTAAATTCCCCTCCATATCCTAACTTCCCAACTTCTTACCTACATCAGTGGCCCACCTTTCATGCAAAGTATGCCCGTCTTTTTTTTAATTACAAAAATGTACTTATGTATGACCAAGGTAGGTTAATTTCAAACTTTAGTACATATTATAGTATGACATATTAATTAAAAATAATAACGAATAAAAATGAATAATCTATTAAAATGTGCGATATTTTTTGATCAGGTGTGGATTTAGAAACTTGAAATGGCAGGAGGGGTGCCTTTCTTTTTTCAGAAAAATTACAATTACAATTATAATTTTAGTAGGTACATAGTTAATATATTTTTAAAAAATCACGACAAATTAGTCTTTTGACTAATCTTCAACCTTTATCGGCCTTTGTTTTTGTCTTGAAAATCTGTTGATTTCTTTGTTAATGTCTATAGGTATTTCTTTGTGAATATTAAGTATTGCTAATCCGTACAGTCTATCTCCATCATTGTATCATAGATATGGTAGATCTCATGTAATTATATATTTATATAGTTATCACAAAGACGAAAAGGATCTTTCTACTGTGTCTGATGTTATGGTAATAGTTGTGAAAATTTAAAGTAATTCTGTATTACTACGCTGGATTTTATAGTTTACTACTATAATCTACTATAGTTTACTACACCTCTTTGACGACTACAAACCAAGAAAAATCGTATTTCTTTTCCATTGGATCATGCTATTTCAGATGTATAATTTAAACAAATCTCCATTAGATATATCACATGAAGAATATATTTCTTTCTTTTATCTTTAACAGCAGCTATTTAATATTTTACGCGTTATTGCCATTTACCGTTACTTCAGTCTAGTAAATTAAGTAAACAAATTTAATTTTGTAAATTTTCAACATTCACGACTTCTGAAAGTACAATAATAATCACGATGAGAAAAAATTGTAAATAAATTTAAAAAACTTGATCGGATTACTACATGGTTTAGTTGCTGTATAAAGCAATTACATTTTATATTTTTGGACCGGAGTTTTAACCTAGTTTAAATCGTTATCGAAATAGCTAATCGTTAAATATTACCATTTAAGATTATTATACAGGTTAATCAACAGAGCATTATTTTTGATGCAAATTGAACTTTTTATTTATTTAATAAGTAAAAAAAATTATTAGTGACATGCTGACATTACAATATTATGTACAATAAATAAATAAAATCCTTAATAAACTCGGACAACCCGGATATCGCTTTACGTTCATACTTATAACCTGACCCGTCATTATACAAATGCTGTAAGTGTATTCTCGCGAAGTACCACACGACGTCTCGCAGACTACCGGTGGTAACATAGGTTGGGGATCACTGCTTTAAAACATTAAGGACAGCCGAGCGTCGCAAGGAGCTTTGAAGTCATCTAAAATACCTATAATAGTATTATGTAGATACCTAAATAATGCGTGCGATAATATAAATAACGAAATTATAAAATTTTAAAAGTCCCATAATTATTTTTAATAATTTAGAATTAAAATTAGAATTAGAAGAAAGAAAATAAACCAATTTTTAGTTTTAAAAATATATATATTGTTTTTAACAGTGCGCAACTGGCCTAAAAATTCGGACAAATAGTATCAATAATTTACTTGAAATATTGTCTGGTGCCCCTGGCCAAGAATAGGTCTAGTACCGCCCATGGTGCTGTAACGTTGTACATTCGTTTACACAATATCGTGTTGATATTATAATGATACGGATATATATGTGTATATATCTGTACTCTGGGAGTCTGCCACAGCCCGTTTCGCAATAAAATAAACGTCGGTGCACACGTTTGATTTTCTGGGTACAAGTTTCGCGTCGGATCACACGGTATTTAAAACCCGGCCTATACCGTACGTGTGCACAAAATCAGTTGGGTTTGTCGCGAAAATTTCGCGGTCGAGTACCGCGCGATATATTTTATTACTCATGTAGACAGGCAGGCATATAATATAGCGACGGCGATGATAATAATAACAATAATAACAATAGTAATTAAACAATACCCATGAAATGTACCTGTAAAGACCATAATATACCTCCTACGCGCGGTATCGCGGTTCGTGTCGCATGTCGGTACGCACAATATACGGGTCCCCCCGATCACAAATTATCAAAAAGAACAGAAAAAAAAAAAAAATTATAATAAAAAAAACCTGGCCACACTGATCCACGAACGTACTCCTACCCGTATAGTGTTATGGACGGCACGCGCGCCGAGTCCCGGTTGCATAATTCCGAAGAACGGACAGGACAGGTGTGCGAGTCGCCGACATCTACGGCGGCAGTCTTTCGTACGGCGTGCCCACTGCAGTCGTGCGCGCGGGCTTCTCGTCTGCACACCACGCGATCCGCCGCACCGGGCCCCCTCCCCCCCCCGATCAATTAAATAATATCTTAAACATATTATATAATATTAACGAGTAAATCGCACGTCGTCGGCGGAATTCTATCGACAGAGTTTTCGTGCTTCCCTTTTGCTCGCTCCGTATGTGACGCGCGTCGCGTATACCCATACCCGATAATAATATAATAACACGGTATATTATCCTAGCGTTATCTATACATAGACATATTTCAGTAGACGCCGCATCCGATCCCCGCGCAGACCGGTTGTTCAGCGTCGTGCCTGTCCAAGAATATCGCTTCCCTTTAAATATTGCATATTGTAGGCACCCACGGACGAAACCGCTGTCCGCATGATCAGTCCGTTGCACAACGTCAGCGCCGCGGCCGCCGGTGGTTACGGCCCGGCCATGTACAGCCACGGCGGCCAACTGCAGTCGGTGTACGACGTCGTGGCCGCCGCCGCCGGTGCCCGACAACAGCTCCAGGGCGCGGCGGTGTACAACAACGCGGGCCAGCAGCCGGTGCCGTACCATCCGGCGGATTACGGTTCGCCGCCATACACGCAGCCGCCTTACAAACACCCGGCTTACGCGCAGCAGCCTTACACGACGCCGCCGCCGCCTAGATACTACGAGTCTGCGCCCAGGCCCGGCACGGCCGAACCGCCGAACCGCCAAAAACCCGCACCGCAACAGCAGCCGCCCGTCCAGTACACCAGGGTCCAGGGCGGAGTGCCCGGCGGTACGATCATTACCTATATTACGCTATTAGAATAAGGCACACCAAACAAAAACCGATGGGCTTGCTGCTCAATAACCGTAAGCCGCAGTTTCAACTGATATTTCAATAGGAAACAAATTGTTGTTCGTCTGAAATTAAAAACACGTTCAATAAATAAACACTTAGGTTCTTCTTATTAGACATTTTCGTTTTCGTCGATCCAAAAAGTTGGATAGTCGAAAATTGTCGTGGGTAAATCCCGGCGTTACTGTATCTGATAGTTATTTCGCCGAACGATGAAATACAAATTATCTCTTTTACGTCAATCGACACATTTTTATATTCCGTGGTGTACGATGTGTGCAGATCGTTTGATAAAAAAAAAAAAAAACAACTTTATAACTGAGTTGCCTCGCGTTGTTGCACCAAAATTCAGATTCAGACGGATATCTTGTTTCCCCTACAATAACTCTGGTTGTATATCATCAAATTTGTAAGATGTTATTTTTAATGTTTTTATTGTACATTTGATCTGTACAGTATCAGAGTTTGTAGACTGAAAAAATGATGCGCGACTAGCCACGTCTGTGCAGCCGTCTCATTGTTTAGTTTATACACAACACAAATATCGGTCAACTGCACGCCATCGTGTGTTTGATCAGTGGCGCAACCGGGGTGGGGGGGGGGGTTGTTTCGGTTGCCTGGACCAGTGGTTTTTAACCCTTTTCCCCTAATTTGTTCTCTTCATATAAATAAATGAATAAATGACGACCAATTTCATAAATCGTTTAATAGAACTTGAATAATACAACGTACAGTATACATGGTACTGATGGTTTTCGGCGATCCCCTAACTATCGCTCGCGATCCCCAGGTTCAAAATCACCGGTATGGACAACCCCTTCCATCTGTGTTTAATATGGTCTGTATAGTTGCGGTATTATTGTTATTATATGTCCGTTTAGGCGGTATTCCAGCGACGTCGTGTGTCTTTTGTCGTGTTCCGATTGACCGTCGTAAATCTTCATAACATTCAGTAATCTTCAAGAACATTCAAGTTACAAATGGTCGGTGGATTTTTATCAGCGTATAGTATATCCGCGGACACGACACACGACGTCGCTGAAATATCGCCTTTTGGTATGGTATTGGTATAAACTAAAACGTGGTAAGTCTGACGATTGTTTTCGCGCGGAGATTTTCTAAGACCAATACCGTGTATTTTAAAGTGATCAACCTAACCCAGTACACTCATTATCTCGGGAAGTGTTAAACTTTTTCGAAGTTAGTTTTAAGAGTAGTGGAACATCATTATATGGCGGCATAGCACGCGGCGTTTTAATAGTGCCGCACTACTCTTTCCCAAACCAACAAATCGACAAACTTAAAAGTGGAATATCTCGTCAACGAGTGGAAATCAAAAACCGAAATTTATTTAAAATAAAACTTCTTTTATATATGGAATTTTTAATGACGTTGTCATTTGAAAATTAAAAGTAGATAGTGGCTTCAACTCTAAAAAATAACGGAAATGTAATATTTTAGAGCTACTTGTTTCTTAAATGTTCTAGAGAAATGAATTCCGTAAAAAATTAATACCTATAGTACTTTCTGAGGTAATGCGTGTTTTACGTTACCCTATATTGTGTACCTTGTATAATATAATTAATAATCATGGACGATCTCTGAACAATTTTTACTACAGGTTTCTAATACTGATTTGAAATAAACTGTGGACAGGTGTCGATTACGATTCTAAAAAAGAGAATTGATGGAATCGATATCGATTTCATTATCAGAGGAGTTTATCTAAGATTTTAGCATATAGGCAATAATTTAGTATTTTACAATTATCAATTTTCGTTGATCAACTCTTCGATTCTCGATTCACTTTGATTTGTGATTCTTCGAAGAAACTATCATATACGATTCAACGATTTGGCCTTGTATACACAAAATAAAATAATATTTCCATTTCGATAAATAGATAATCGTTCCATATAAATAGTAGCTACTCGTGAATCGCATTTCTCTAGGATTTTTTTAACTCCAATTTTATTATTCTACAAAATCAAAATCATTATCAAGGTACCTTTACAAAACAAATATTTTACTGTGCAGTACTTCTTATTGTATTATAATCAATTAAATGAGGTAATATATTAGAAGTACAGCGGTCGTCGCTTATAGTGATCACTATAAGCGGCGTCTCGAAAAATAAATAATTTTACATTTATACATAAATAAGTTTTATAAGTTCTTTCAAGAAAGTTGATGATGTTCGACTGTTTTTTTTTTGTATAGATTTATCCGGGCACCGAAATTTCACTTTGTTAACTTATCCACAAGTTGTGCCACTGGTTTGAATTGCATCAGTCGTACAATTTGTTTGTCAGTCATTATCAGTCATACACATATACAGTCAGTCTTGAATGAAAATCAATGTAATTGATAGTCAAGACTGACAGTTTACGGGGGGGCTTTAGGTGGGTTACGCTTACATTTGACTAGATTAGGTTCGTAAATTATTAATCGTCAGATTTTTCTTTCTTTCGTGTATTTATTATTATAATTTTCATTTCTGATATGACTATTTCTGATCACTATAACTGAAAATCTGAACACAGTAAGCAACGAAAGATGCACTGATAACTACTGTTTGTTCCGTTCCTGGCATTTCTGATCACTGTAAGCGGCTAATTCTTATAACCAGTGAAAACTATAAACGGTGACCACTGTATTTGAATTTTTACAGTAATTTCCCTGTACGAGTATAGGTATATAAGGTAGGTAGGTAGATATAAAATTATATTATTATCGAGACCAAATACATAATAATATGGTAATGAGACTTCATAAATTACAACACAAATTCAAATATTAGGTGCATATACTGCATAATATTATTATATAAATGTTTATCTGTATTTTGTTTTTAAGAGTTTCAACTTGTTTCCATTCTTTCGTTTTGAATGTTTACGAGTAATTCTTGAAAAACCGCATTAAACCTAGGTAACATATACCTAGGTGTTATATAAATATATTATGGTGTAATTCTGTAAATACACGTAGGTATATGAACATTATCGATATAATGGTTATAGTACCTAGTGGCGTGTCCAGGAATTTTCAGTGGGAGGAGATGTAACAAATAAAAATCACGAAAAAAGTAAAATCGTCTGCTCTACCCAACTCGACTATGGGAATTAGTAACTTAAAAGCCGGATCCTAAAAAAAAAATTTCTAATCAATACATCAAGATTTTGTCACGGAAATCGGCCGAAATTTATAAGTTTCGGTATTAGATTACTCATATTTTGTTGTATTTTTAAGTCAATGGGGGGGATATAACCCCTAAACTCCCCCCCTAGGAACACCTCTGATAGTACCTAGTTTTAGATTCTGAGCGAAACGAGTGAGGAATGTATTGGTTTTACAATGATATATTTTTTTTCTGCGAACAACTTTTCTACCAGAAATATTGCTTCAGTTTTCATGTTTAGTACCTTTACTGAAAGAAAATTTTAAGTAGGTGGTACTTTAAGGAAGTCATTTTTTGATTTTCCAAGTGGTTTTCATAACAATTGGGAAATACTAGGATAAAACGTAGAGAAAACCGAACAGTTTACGAAATGTACTATTTTTAATTTTGTTTTTTTGTTGTGATTCAGTTAAAAATATTCTTACAGACTTGAAATTTAGACAGAAAACTTATATTTACCTTTTCTAGGCGTAGTAAAATTTTAAAATATAAGCTATTTTCGATCTATTTATAGATATTTTAATTTCGCTAGTTTTTTATGTAATTTTTATTCGGTAGGTACTGAAATTGTTAGAGCAAACAGAAATGCTTGAAAATTTAACCAGAGATTCATTATAACTATGTAGTGGGGAAAAAAAAATTGAGTGTAATGTAAAATATTTGTTTACCTATAATAATTTAAATATCAAATTTTGACGAAAATCGTTAATATTACGGCCTATTCCGAAACATATATAAGCGAACTTCGCTCAGAATCGTTTTTCGTTAACAATGGTTAATCATTGTGTACAGATATACATTAAATTTCCCTCTATATCTTATCTTCTCAACTTCTCACCTACAACAGTGGCCCATCCATCATGCGAAGTGTGTCGCGTCTTTTTATATCTGGTATTCAAGTCGAGCTTAAATTAATTTTATGGAAATTTTACAAATTTATTTGTATTTTATATTTATAGATGCCTGTGTACAATTATTATAATAGGGATTTCCTGATCGATTTATTGTCGTTCGGCTCAAACCGTCGCTGTGTACAGTTGAGCTACAACAAAAATTGAACGGATTTATCATTGTTACACGTTTTCGCCATGTTCTTCGGCGTTTAATGTTATATGCAGTTCATATTTTAATAACATAATTTATATTTTATAGTATTACAACACAATGAGAATAAGTGCAAATTTGTCCGACGGGCCAAATTATATTACGTACGATAAGCTACTGGCCTGTCCGCATTTACCGACCCGGTTTGAATTTATTTTCTAATGTTTTGATGTACAATTTAACTGTGTGATTCGATTTTATATTAATAGTTTTATCTGGTTTTACATTCTATTCTATATGAGTCAAATTTTCTTGTTTAACTCAGAAGGTACATACCGATACATTTTATTTTATTTGTTACCAATCTGACTTTTTGCATTGTAGATATTGGTTTTACTATGAAGCGTGTTTTATTTTTTTAGATTCTGAACAAAGCGAGAAATGTATTGGTTATTTTTTTTTTTCTGTTTGTTAAAATTTCGCTCCGAACTTCAGAAACGGTAGAATATTTTGTCTTGTCATTGCAACCGAACAGTATCTTGTTTTATTTTGACTATTAGAAGATTATATTAAAATTTAAAATGTTAGTGTAATTTTGCAAATTTTTTAAATATTTAAAAATATTTAGACGTGTTGAGACGAAATACGAATTATAATATATACTACATAAAACGAATCGCACCTATTATAGACAGTCATTACTCGTTATTGCAGTCAATATATATGCAATTTCGCACTATAATTTGCGCTCGACAATCGATATTTATTATCGACATCGATTTATTGTTCGAAATCGGTGTGATGACTAATTAGTACTTTCCCCTCATTCCCAAAATTAAATTATTTTGTGGCATACCAAAATTGTATTATTTTAGAAGACCATATTAAATATCTTGAAAAATTGTTATCTAAGTCCGGGTTTTCAATCATGTAGTTATTCGTCAGATAAACTTATTTGGTGAATAATTTTAGTATTTAGATACGATAGTAAGGCAATCTTAGATATTTAGGTGTGAATTTGATATAAGTAAATACATATTATGTGTATGTATTTCAAGTTTTTGTCATTTTGAATCATCTTAACATTATGTGTAGACAGTTAAATTATATTTGTTAACAGTTAAATATACTTTCCCCTAATTTTCTCCATTTGAAGAACATTCCCGGAAAAGTGTCTATTATATACGGGAAACGATTCGAGTATGCTTGTATCATATAGATGTTCTCGAAACGTCGTCGAAACCCAGAGAGGCGATTCGACTAAGAAAAGATGGACTGCCTGGATTTGGAAGGCGATGCGTGTGCATCGTATGATACCTAAACAATTTTAAATGAACATAATATCTGCACGAATACCTAGGCAGGATTTTTCAGTAACTATTACCTTATTTGTTGTATTAGATATTGGTAGTCGTATATTTGACCAGACCTTTGTAATGAGAGAAAAATAAATGCACGACTTAATTATCAGCTGAGTATACAGAGTGATTCACTAAGCGTTCTCGCCCCATTTTTTTTTGGTTAAATTTTGCATATGAATGTATGAAATTGTATATGAAATATATTAAATTCAAATTTTGATTTTGGAATTTTTAAGTGTAATTAAAATCGATATTTTCGAATACTTACTTAGATTTTTCATAACATTTAAGAAGTATTTTGTGGTGATACCAATTTTGCTTTTTCAAATGAGTACTTATATTCAAAATCCTATAAATAAATGGAGTATTACTTGATTTTCGTCAACCCTTTGACGAGATATTTCATTTTTAAGTTTAGGTAGGGGGTGAGTAGCGGAACACTAATAAAACGCCTCGCGCCGTGCTGCAACACAAATAAGTATTCGAAAATATCGGAACTTAAATATATAATTGGTGTTTTTTTTTTTTTCAGGTAAAACATCGTTACACGCGGTAATAGATTACGACGAGGAAGACGACATTTTAGATTATTACGACGAGTACGGTCATAGTGGAGTGACGCCGATTCAGGGTCCGATATATTTAAGAAACGGTTCCGTACCAGTAGTGCCGCTGTACGGTTACCAAAAAGTGAGCAACGGGTCTTTGTTGCAGATACCGGTAAGTCGACAAAAAATGTCTTTATAATGACCCCCTCACGAAAATAAGATGTGTACAGGGTATATCAAGACTATTTGACATTTTTACATTGTAGTTGCATATGAAAATGTCAAATAGTCCAGTTACACCCTATACATATATATTTTTAAAAAACCGGCTAGATACTTTTTAATTGAGTTGGACCAAGCTCAACGACGAACCGTCGAGAATAGAAACATCGAGTGACATATATCATACATATTATGTATAACACAATAATGCATAATTACATATGTAGCTAGAGTGACGGGAACGCGCATTAAATTCATCTGGATACAGTGGCGTAATAAGAGGGATTATACGCCACCCCCGAAATTTGAGATTTGTTTACCAATTCTACGTAATGCGCGTATGTATTGTTGCATAATTTGTATACAAATTTCAGTAATTTCTTTATGATTTTGAATACATGTGTCCGTACACATGGACTTCGAAAATAAATTCTTGTCACGCCATTGTCCGAATGTATACAAATTATGTTTTGTTAGTTTAATATTTTTTTTTTTTTAATGGAAAGAGATAATATTTCAATTATAAACTTTATAATCATATTTAATGTGGGTACATTAGTATGCGCAATGACTCATGGCACTTATTCATATTTTTTATGTCAAATGTATAGAATGTCTGAAACACTGCTATTATAATAGCAGGCTGTTGTGTTGTACAACACACGTTTCAAATACGAACAAATGATTTTTTAATGTTTTATAAATAATTTTTAACTATATAACAATAGTCTTTGTCTCCCCCCCCTCATAATATATAGGAATAACTCGCATTCTCGATTTATTTGTTGGAGATATCAACGAATTTTTGAATTGTAGGGTATTGCATTGTGTGCCTTTACATTAACAAACATATTACGATACGTAATTAAATTTGCAGGAAAAAAAAATGTTTCAGTTCAAGATTTAAAAAAATATTAATTTGTACAAAATTATTGTCATTCACGTGGGGTCTATTTTCAGATATCAATCGAAAAGTATTTTCGATTAAAAATAACAAAAATCAACCAAAAGCTGATAAATTTTCAATTGGTTTCGATCGATTAGTACTTATTATTTCTAATCGTAAACGTTTTTCAATTGATTTAAGAATTGAGAGGCCTCCGTGATACAATAATAGTAGTGCAGTTTATCACTTGCACCGTGTGTAATAGGTAATTTTTCGAAAAAATGAACTATGAAAAATTGACAAACGGCATTTTCATTCGTCACTCCCCTGTAATATTTTATTATCTATACGTGTCTATTTATGAAAATAAAATCTAAACTTTTAACGCAAACCAATGTATACTAAAGAGTGATCATCAAACTGTATTATTGTAGGCTTAACTGCAGTATTTCAAATCGCATAGATATTTTTATTATTTATTTATGTATTGAAATTTGAATTTATCGAATTTTATTCGTTACGAGAAACGTTCAATGCCCATATCTTGGCGTAGGTATGTAATACATTAATAAATATTAGGTAGGTACTCGTAATAAAATACAAATTGCTCGAATCGTTAAAAAATGATTCGCGGATGATGAACCGACTTTTATGTATATATATATATACGTGATTGTATATACCGCGACTGTAAGTAGTACCATTTTTGTGATTGATATCACGTCAATTTTGGATTGAAATACACTGATTGAATCGCTTGCTACTGCAACATCGGTATATTCAACTGCAGATGACACGATAATAATAATAATAAAAATAATAATATTATTATTATTATTATGTTATATTGTCGAAATCAAAATCTCAAGTTCTCCGTAGGGTATAAGACTGTATATATATATATGGTAATTATGACCTAGTTGAACGTTAATTGAGCTACTGGTTAATATTTAATAATATTATTAAGAAAAAATAAAATACCGATAGTTAGGTATCGTAAATGCCAATAGCCCAGAGAGTGACAGCCTAGTATATAATATGAAGTGTTCATGACAAAATTGCATAATAAATACCTAAAGTCGCGAGGTCGTCCGCGGGTAACGTGTTTTTTTTTTCAAATATATTTATAATATGTTTTGGGCAGTTTTGGGAATACGCCTTTCTTAACACATAATATATAATAATAATACTCGTAGTATTTATGTATTATAATGCGAAATATTACAGTGAAAGTAGTCCAGACACACGATATAATAATAATATATATTCACCGGGGATAGAATTCCACGTCATTTATCTAATTCAAATATTACTGCATTATAGTAGGTACGTATAGGTAGGTACCTATTATTATAATAAAAATAATTGTATATTTTATGATAATTTCAATGTATTATTACTCGTGTGTCACAGTCACATATAATGTACAAGCTAATCAATTACAAATCACTGGACAACTTCCAAAAATTCGTATACCTACCTACACCTGTATTATTATAAGTATTTATACAGACTATACATATTATATATATATATATCTATACATTCAAACATTTGCGACAAAAAACTAACGGTAAAAAATGTATTTCATTTTGAACAAATAGAATACTATTCTTACTACTACAGGTTGATACTGAAATGTATTATTATGTCGTCTCGTTTTTTTTTTCTTTATTGTGGGTACGAAAGTATTTTTAATCATATTCTTCCCTTTTTAAGTTTGATAGTAAGTCGATTTCACTCTAATATTAAAACAAACAGCCTAAAATTTGTTCTATTGAACATAAACTTGGTATGCCGTGAATTTGTTAGATGGAAACATGTATTGTTGCGTCCTCGTCTTAATAGATGATTTGTATAAAAATATATTGTAATGGATTAAATAGTAAAAACAAATTGAGTAGGTTCCGATATACGTAATATTCTGATAATTTTATATACGCACACTTGCTATAATTGTAGGTTCCCTAGATAGTTATAGGTTAGGTTAGGTTACCTAATCTACCTACCTATGCAATTTCCGTTTTTGAACTAATAAAAAATTACCGATGTAATAGACTATAGAGTGAGTGTAACACTCAAACAGTAACACGAATTAATATTTTACGTTTGGTTAGGTTAAGTCCATCAAACTGAAATTGGACTTGCTACCGCGATTCGCGTGACACTGTGTAAGTGACGAAAAATCTTTGCTGCCATTGATAATCTAAAATTATTTTACTAGGATGTAGAATTTTATAATTTAAATTTACCCATAACTGATTTATATTATTTTTCATTATATTTTAAACTATTTATTCCTATAAAAAATAGTAAGTTTCATGGAATTACCTGTAAAAACATTATTCATTTTAAATAGATATAGGTAAAAGTAATTTATTTAAACAATAATTATTTATTATGAATAAATAATAAATATTTTGTGTTTTCATTTATTTCGTGTATTTTAATGTTGATATTATATTAGTATTTATAAATAATAGTGACGACGTGCACCGATATTAAACTGAATGCCTCTTACAATAGTAATAAAACCTCAGTAAAAATTTCGTACTGACAATTTAAATTAATATTTTATTTATTCTATTTCACGTTCAAATTTAAAATGTAATAAAACTTTACGCAAAAATTTAAATGAAAAAAAAAAAAAATTGAATTATTAACATGGTTTCCTATATAGGTTTAGTCGTTGTTTAAATTAAATAATGGTACATATAATATCCTAATGTAAGTATAATACCTAACCGTCGAGTGAGTTTTTAAACAGTTATAATGGTATCTATGTATTTTTTCGGTCATAAAATATGTGTTTTGAAAACAATTTTAATGTCCCCAACGCACAAAGTATAGCTAGAGAAGTGGTATACGTGACAAGAAACCGAATAGATAACACGACTTGAAGCCATCTTAAAATACGGGTTCCATTAAAATCTATACCTACCTCGTGGAATGTCAATAACATGAAATGTATAATGGCTCAATGCCCGTTTTGTTTTATTTCATTTACAATTTAACTGTTAATGAGTAGGTGCCTTATTATGCACAGTATAATATTGTAAGATGTATTAGTACAAGGCTGAGCATTAATGAGTTAATTTTAACTTTGAACTATTAGACTTTTTACCTTTGAGTTTTTATAAACTTGAATTATTTTTAGTTTTATTAAATTTTGAACTATAATACCACGTTAAGTTACTACCAATTTCTTATAATTTTAAGAAAATATTATACAATTTATTTTAATTATTTTATACCATCGTATAAATGATAATAAAATAAAGGTATAAGTAATAATAAGTAAGGTAATAAGATAAGATAAATTTAAAAATGTCATCAAAATTTAATATTAAAATTCTTACATAAAAAAAATACTACATCAAACTCATTTTTTTTATTTTTGATCACAAAGTATAACTTATAATGAACCTCCTGTTCAATTTTACCTACCGAACAAAAATTTCGTAAAAAAACCTCGTAAAATTAAAATGTCTATAAATAGCTTAAAAATGGCTACAATGTCTTGAAAATCGTACCACGTCTAGAAAAGACAGATAAAGGTTTTATGTCTAAATTTCAAGCCTCCACAAATATTTTTAACTGAAACAAAACAAAATATTGAAAACATAATATATTTCGTAAATTTTCCCGTGTTTCCAACGTTTTGCTTATGTTTTTTCCCGGTTTTCCCATTTAATATGTAAACAGTTGGAATAATCAAAAATGACCTGAAAAAAGATTTCCTTTCAGAAAATGTGCTACACTTAAAAATCTGAGCAAAATTTTTAGTAGAAAAGTTGTTCACATAAAAAAAATAATTGGTAAACATCATTGTAAAACCAATACATTCCTTGCTCCACTTAGAATCTAAAATTAAATAATAAATAAATATTAAGCGAGTATTGAAAAAAAAATATTTTGTATTTTAATTAACATCTAACAATTAATAAATGGTATTAATTATTACCTATGGTATCACACCGAAATAATCAACGAGCTGTAATGTAGGTAATATTTTCATTGTTTCACAGTTTGATTCTTGTGCATTCTTGTGCCGTTCAGTATCGGGAACACCAAATATTTACTATTTATCGTGCGGATTATGTTTGACACTGTGTTCACAAACTTACTGTGAACTAACCGACAATTTTCACTGAACAGCTTTGTTTCAATTAGTGCGTTTGCGCATTTTTAGCACCGTTCAATGTCAGAAACACCGACCATAAATCATAGTTAAATTTTCGGTTTAAAAACTACACTGAAACATTTTGACAGAACGCTATTGGTTCAACGGTATAGATTACATACCGTGTATGAACCGTTGAAAATGTTACTCGGGCAATGTGTGATTTTAGGACGAAAATGAGATAGAATAGAGGCATTTCCCCACTGACGGTACCCTTACAATTATCAGACCTTGGAACATTAATTTAAAATAAAAACTCATTTATAAGCATATAACTGAATTATGTTTATGAAATTATAAAATGGTGTTTTTTATTTTAATTTTTTCTAGTTTATTTGTAAATAAACACTTATACATTTATTTCAAACATTTTCAATTATAACATTTTTAAACTTTGTACCTCTCTCGTCTCTGCTTTCTCCCCCGCCCCCTCTCCGTGATTATAGCGCCCGATGAGTACGCATCCCTCGCATAACCTTAGGCACGGCTCTGGGTAGGTATATATATACTATTTAAGAGGAAAATCTTAAGAGGTCATCATAGTTTAATTTTCCATCTTTATGTAGGTTAGGTTGGAATTATATTACCTTCTTAGAATTATAATTTATCGTGATTTGATTGATAGCAAAATTGTTTAAATTATTTTCTTAACTTCTCAATATTCATTTGTAATCTGAATTAAAATAAACGACGAAACATAAATTCAAGTTCATTAAAAATACGAACTTAATTCAAAAATAGTTTATTCAAATAAGGAATGAACTTATTTATTTTTCGTTTATACATTTTGAACTTTGTACGGATGAACAAATTTCTTTAAACTCATTCATTCCGAGATCTAAGAATTATGAAATATGCTTCGTTTTTTTCAATTGTAAGTTTTCGACCTAATTCCTGTAGTAACCTGTATTAATAAAAATTAATCTTTATAAGTTTCATAAAAACAACTTAAAATTGATATTGATATAAGTACTAAATAATTGTTTGATAATACGCATAAACAAAAATTGTGTTGAAATTGATCTCGTAGGTACCTATTTATTTAAAATTCAAGATACCTTGTAATAAATTACTTATTTGGTAAATGCTATTACTTATAATTTCTGTGTTTATAATAAGTAATTATTTATGATTCTTTGATATCAAAAACCTTTCTAAAAACAAAATTACCTATCTAAATAGAAAGGGAGTAAAAAAAAAATTTAATTATGTAATTATTGATTTGTACATGTGCGCAAATGTTTATAATTTATATTTACATATAGGTGGATTAGTAATGAGCAAATCAATTAGCTTACATATCTACATTACATATAGCTGAAAATTACATAATAATTATTTTACAATATTTATTCTATAAAAAATAAACTAGAACTAAAATTGTCATTACTTAATAACCATTTTATAATAATTAGCTATTTTTTGTTTAAATTATTAAAATGTATGTTACATTTTAATTATGTTAATATAAGTTTAGGCGGTCATAATATAGGTACATACGTGCAGGTTGTTAGGAGGTTATGAGGGCATTTAGAGTAAATGAAGTAAAGCCGTAATAATAATTGATAAAGCTGATATGTGGAGGACGACGAAAAGAGCTGACCGCATAGAGAAGAATAATACTTACTATGGTTACGCTTTAGATCAGTTCTTCTTGACCTTTTTCGGTTCAGCTCCATTTATTGAGATAGCTAAATGCTAACTGTCCCCTTTCTATCAATTAACAATTTTCGTTAGTGTATTCTAAATGATAATAAAAACTAGTACATGTTATTTTACTTGACTTTACAAAAATATTTTACATTGCTATATAAAAAATAATGTTTCATTATACTTCTCTAGTGACTATCCAAAGGCGCCTGATAAGCAAGCCTGTATACAGGGGGGAGGGGTTTAGGGGTTAAAACCTTCACGAAATTTTTAAAGTAGGTAATAATAGCTGGTAAAAATGAGGATCGGTGTTCTAGATCAACAAATTTTGAAACAGAATAATACGACTGGTTTATGTTTCAATTACGAGAGAATTTTATTAAATTTACCGAAGAGGTTAAAATTTTAATACCTCCTAGCTATTTTTTATAATGTAGTCCCTGACTTCATTTTTTAATAGAGCAGATACAGGGACTCTTTTTATTGACTTTAATTTTGACACAGTTATAGTAATTTAGAAAAGGAATTTCTTACAAATCTTAAATGACAAAAATTAGTTACTTGCCGAAGATAAAAAAAAATATATGAATACTTATTTCAAATATTTCAAAAACATATGGTCGATTTTTTTTTGATTCGGAAGATCATAATATTTTGGATATTATGTATAGGTACTTAATTATTACAAGGAATGGACGATTCGATATCTTTATACTTTTTATAGGTACTTCGGACAGTATCGAATTTGAAATAAAAGTAATTTTTGGTATCGTTTTTAATATTCATTATTATTTGTTTAACATCTAAATTCTAAAATGTTCGATCTTATAATATTAAAAGAGAAGGAAAAATACATTGAACGTCAGTTTTTTAAGATCGGGACGATTTGGGATACAGTGGAACACAGTTGGCGGGTGTACAGTATGACAGGTAAGATACTGAGGAAATAAGAATACGGGAGAAGTTAGTAGAGATACGGGAACAGATAAAAACGTCTAGACATCAGTTTTTATAGGGCTCCACTCCCAGGCCCAGGGTACGCTTGTAGGAGCGGATACTATTTTTAATTTTTGTCTTTTAACTAGGTTCTCTAAGAATTTAATATTTTTCACAATTGAACATTAAAAATTCTATATTTTATTATACTATTTAAAGATTTTAAATCACCCCATTAGCAATGTTAAATAAATTATAAAACAAAACGATAATATTACAATAGTTAAGAAATTAAAAATGTAATAATTACATTTTATAAAATTAGCCTGGTAGATACAACCACATATAACTCCATACCATATTGCATGTCAGATATAAAAATGTAAATATACTTTTTACAATTTTTCATTTGCTAACCATTAAATTCTACACTACGTATTTTTTTTTTATTTTGAATTCTTTATATGGCATTGTAAAACTACATTTAAAAATATATTTAACCTTTAACCACTAATAGATTTCAATAAATATAATACATATACTGGACATAGAAAGGTGTTTTCTATTGTTTTCTGGAGTACTAAGTGTAGGTACCTATTATTGATTTTTAATAGTACTTAAATGAGAGATACCTATTTATTTAACCTTGACTAAGACATCTTGCCTTAATGTTTTATTTAGACATTCCAATATTTTCAATTTGAATTATTATTTACATTTTTGTCCAATGTGTAATGTGCCAGCAGAGGTACGATATACCTACAGCGACCTTGTTTAATATTAGATATTTCTGTAGATATGAATAATAGGTACCAATAAAAACTTGTGAAAAATAAAAAGTTCTTATAAATAGTTAATTTGTTTTTATTTGCAAAGTAAAATAAACACAATTTAAGTTTTATAAATAGTGGGAGGTTGAAAAATAAATTCACTTTGCTGTTATATTTATTATTCTTATAAATATATTCTGATTCTAAAATATTTTAATCTAAATTTGACATTGTTTTTTTGTTAGTTTTAAGAAGTACCTATATATATTTTCCTGAGCATTTTATTCAAAATTACTGAAAACACCAAAACTAATTACCTACTTATAGGGTAGGTTAGGTTAGGTTTAGTTCAAATGCAGTATTTCACCAATAATGTAATTTCTATAAATGTGTTCAGTAAAAATATCCAGTTATAATTTAATAACACTTATCATTTAAGAGGGGCGGCTTATGTAGACCGTAAAAACAGTCTTTACAAGAATTAGAACCATTCGCTTTACATTAATAACTAATAATTATAGAAAATATTATTTTATTCGCATTGCCTATACATAATTCCTTAAATCTGGGTGTACGACCAGATCTTGGTTCTTATTGAGGATTTCTTGGGGATCAATATCGTTCAAGACTCAGAACTCAAGCCAAGTTTATTTTAGTCGAATTGCAGTTCAAACTAAAAATTTTTTTGGATACTTCAAAAATGATATAATAAAATGTTTTTACCCATAGGTTTTTTGGACTGCTCTTTCGTTTGCATTAGGATATGAAATTGGCGGTGATGTGATTCGTGGAACTCCGTGTATTAAAAGAAATCATCAACTGTTCTGTCCAACAGCAGGAAAAAGTTATCCAGTGTAAGTAAGTAGTAGCTACAAACTACCTCTCATGGTTTATATTCTTTTTGTAGACAAAACAAAAATATTTTTAAGGAGACTATAAAAATTATTATTTCGAAATAGGTAGTATGATTTTTTAGGTTTGAAAATTATAGAATATAAATTATTTTTATTTCATAAGTACCTATACATTTTATTTACATTTATAAATCATTATATTTATATTTTACTTAATTTATTTCAAATAAGTTAATAACTGAGAAATAATAGGCATAGGTACTTTACATACAATTATTATTCACGGAGCGGGAGCATAATAGATAATAATTGACATCAGAGTCCGTGATTTAAGTCCGATAACTATGCAAAGTACAAATATTATAATTAGGATTAAATAAAATTTGGTTTTCGCGATTGTAACAAAATAATAAATAAATAAATACATTTAACTTGTGTATTAAAGTAGATATACCTACTTATTTACATATTTCTAAAATTATAATAAATGAATAAAAAAATTATACATTTTTTGTGTATAGAGATCGAATTGATAGATTTATTGATGAAAACAAAGCGCTAATGAAACGGATGTACGGTGAATTCGAAATGATGGAAAACGGACCGTTTCCAAAAGCCAAAAGATCAACGGCCCGAAAAAGAAGACAAGATACTAATTTTTCGGATAATAACCAATCAAAATCAAATAAGCTGCCAACTAGGGGACAGCCTGCAGATTCTGGAAGGTTAATATGAATTTTTATTTCTATAACTATTTACGTTGATTTATACAATATAAAACAAAACTCGTTTTGTGATGTTATTCAGTTTTCGTCAAGTATTTGTTGACTTAATTTTATATTTATCTATATCTAGCACCTAGGTAAGTCCTACTTTTTTTTATTTTGTTATATGACTACATTATATGCAAGTTCAAGTTATATTTATAATATTTTAGAATCCAAGTACAGAAGAAACTATAAGTTTTACAAAGAAGTTTTATTTTTTTTATTTTAACACTTTGATTAGTAAATATCATTGACACATTACAATATGTGGACTTTTCATCTGATGGTACTTTATTATAAAAAAAAATTTTGAATTTCTGAATAAAAATATTCCTTTTGGTTTTAATAATCCGACTTTATCACACAGGCCCTTAAAATAATTGAAATTTCCGAACTCTGGTATTTTATTTGAAACATTTAATCGATATTTAAACAGTTTACCTCCTTGGGCGTTTTTGTTTTATTTTATTTTTGTTAATTTCTGGTTTACCAATCCAGTTTTTTTTCAAGATAATCGAAAAACAAGGTTTTTCTTTTTGGTTATTTCTTCACTTAGAATCGTTTTTTGTATGCAATAATTTATCGTTGTATACAATATAACAAATATTAAATGAACCAGTATATCCTAACCTTCCCAACTACAATAATGACCTACCCGTGAGAAGTATACACCTTTTAAAGGTTTTTAAACAATAATACATTTATTAGAACACCTTATAAAGTTGTACGGTTGTATCAATCCGTATAATTACGGTAGTTATTGATTTAGTTGACAGTTATTATTATTATTTATCATAATATTAATTTAAATTTAAATTTCTAAGAATTTTTGTTAGGTCAAACAATTTAACCATATAAACAATATAATACCTATTAAATAAAAACTAATAAAATATCAAATGTTTACAAAATGTTCAAAAATCACCATTGTTTTAAAAATTGTATATGTATATAAATATCCAATATAAGACTTATATTGAAATAGAATACTTGGTACTCTCTGGAATTATAGTTTATTAGTTAAAATACGTTTAAAAAACGTGAACTTCACACGCACGTTTTCTTAATTTGTTTATTTTTATGGATTACGGTCAGATGAAACATACTATCTATACTTTCCCACTAACCTAAGCATATTTTTTTACGCATCACGTCACTTCTGACAATGTTTTTAATGTAAACCTATTTTTACTCATTGGAAATTTGAAACTGAAAGATACTAGTAAATACTGACAGTATAATATATAAATAATTATGGTATAAAAAACATAAGGTAAAACACGTACCAATATCTCATATTTTATTTCTATAGTTTATTACCTAAACGTAACGAACTGTAATTAGTAAAAACACAACTAGGCATACCTCCAAGATCTTTTTCGGAAAAGAAATTTCCGATTTGTGAAAATTTGTTTCTAAAGTTAGGTTTTTAAGGGGAAAATTGAGACTCCACATATTTGAAGTTAAAATTTATCCACTGAGGCTAAATAACACACAGTGAGTCGCATAGGTACACATTATTACAATTTAAAAATAATATTAAATAATGTTACAGGATTGATTCTTGCGAGTCTAAAGTGGAAGTAGTCACTCCTTATTGGGCTGCGAACAGCGTGGGTAAAACTAGGGCAATTGTTAACACTGAACACTTTGAACAAGCCATTCATCAAGAAGTTTGCACGTGAGTCAATTAAACATTATATTCCTACCTAATATGATAATTTACGAATAGGTATAATGAAAATATTATTTTTTGAACACCTTTTTAGAGGGGATTAGCAGACAATAATAAAATAAAACTTAATGGTGTTTTACCATTTTTATTTTTCAGCAAGACTTTGACTTCACGCTGTTCGGGAGATTGCGGATGCGAGCAAAAATACAAATGGCACAGGCTATTGGCTTATGATCCCGATAACGATTGCAAAGGAATATTTATGGATTGGTTTTTATTCCCTTCTTGCTGCGTATGTCGATGCGATTCTACAATCCCAAATAATGTTTAAAAAATAAAATAATTATTATAAGCATGTAATATAATATTCATGTTCATGCACATGTCATGTTAATTTGTATAGTTATTCTATGTTATTATATTTATTATATTATTTAGTAGGTACCTACACCTAACTTGTAAAACAAATATTATGTATCATATACCTAATTATATAATATTTTGTATGTTTAGCCGTGTATACATTTTACATTACACCTATTATGCATATTTGTATTTGAAGTAATTATACTGTTCAGGTTATAAAATTAAAATTATTATAATATATAGATTAAAATTCATAATAATTTATTATTATTAAGTACCTATGCTTATACACCTATAACTGTCTTTAATACACAAACATTAATTTCAAGTGAGTACATTAGTAACAGTTCAAGAAATAATTAAATACTCAAATAGATTCCAAACACATATATTATAAATATAGTTCACAGGTAATGATTCTAATAAACATATTAAATGTAATCATTTAAATATTTTTTTTATTAAATCATTGAATACAAAATAATGTTTAAGGAAGAAAAATCTAATCTCTTTATGATATTAAAATAAAAACTAAAATACTGTCAGTAGTATTGTAATTAAATTTGTGTACAGGGTGATTTTATTATTATGAATCAGCAATTATCTTGGAGTTTTTTAAATTAATTTAATTTCTGTTTTTTCTAATCATTATGGAATCGTATAAGCTTTATTTTAAAACCATTTTTAATTTTTTAACCCTATTCCATGTACCTTAAATAAGTAAATATTTTTGATTTTCAAATAGGAAAACCGCATTTGAACACAAATTTAAATAGAATATTTTTCTAGAAATTTTGATATGCATTACACTAAGTGTATAAAAGTGGATAAAAAAAATTTCCCTGTACATCAATACAAAATAAATTGTTTCATACAATATTATGATTTATTCATAGACTATCAATTTTGATCTGTAAACTTTGTTTTTAATATTCTGTGTATCTTTTAGGTAATGCATAATAGAATATAATAATTATATATTATTTTAAATTTTTATAAAATAATAGGTACCTTCATACAGTGGCAAGTGACATATTTTGGGGGACTGTACTAACTCCTAGTAATACTTTTTCTTCACAAGTATTAACATAGCTTCATCATAAATTTATATCTGATTATAATATACCTTAAAACCTCATAAGTTGTAATTTTCTTGTAAGAATCTTAGCATTGCTACTTAAATTTTTAATTATAGTAAAATTATGATGGGAATAAAGTATAAACAATTTGTCTGAATAAATTAAAACTAATTTAACACTTAAATTTACTGAGTAATTTCCCATATCAGTATAATTAATTTTATATATTTGTATATACACAATGTATTCGTGTAATATATATATATAAGCCTAATATTATTTGGTTTGGTAATCTCCAATTATTAATCCATAATAGAAGTTTTCAAAGTAGTTTTAAAATATTTCGTCATTTGTCAAGAATATTTAATGATACTTCAGTAATGAATAGAACTAGAAAAAATATTGGGGGGTTTAACCCCTAAATGTGACACTGCCTTCATAATGATAAATAATAATATTATTATTATGATTGTTACGTACTATTGTATTCTGATAGTCTATGGGATACTAGTGATACTACATAGATATTAATAAATATATCTTCTTATTCTCTCTAAGTCTTAATTATTTAGGTATTGATAAATATTGGTGTACCTACATCACTTCAAAAACCTAGTTTATAGTATTTATTTGGTTTATGTAAAAAATTGATTGGCAAATAGCCAATGGGAAATGCCATTTACAAATTGTTGATAAATCAATAATAGTTAATTTATTAATAGTTAATAATGATAATAGTTAATTAGTAATTTATCATAATAATTTAAACATACATGATAATTTTTATTATTGAGCAATAAAACTATAAATTATTATTCAAATCTATACATTTATATACATGAGATACTATGAAATATGTACAATTTTTCAATGTGCAGTTCTATGTAAAAATTCATATCGGTTTTAAAATATTATATTTTGATTTAAATTATTACTTTATTTTATGACTCCACACACAATTGCTTTTATTTTTTAGTTCCATTTTTACTAGAGAAAAGTATAATATACTTTATTTTCTTTTAACTGTTTTATGTTTATATTTAGAAAATATACACATTATGGTTTTAAAAAATTACTATCTGCACATTAAAATATGGCTTATCTACTCAATAAAGTTTAATAAATTAATTTCTACAAATATTTTTCTCACCACTCAAATTTGTCCATATGTATATTATATAGGTACCTATTAGGTCCTCAAAAATTCAAATTACTTTAAATTTATTTATGTTTAATATTTCAGCAACTATGAAGGCTAGTTGGTTTTACAAAACTACTATAATTTAAAACACTACAATCATTAAATAAAATTCAAAGTTAAAATTGATAGCAACTGTATACCTAGTATACAGAGTATCTAATAACTGAGAAAAAAAGGCCTACAATAAGACATTTGTTAACATTAATATTATGGAATTTCCTTTTTTTTTTATTGTAGTTTTTAAAACTAATGTTTATTAGAAATAAATAAAAGAAGAGTAAAAATAAACTATAATTTTTCACTAACCTTTTCAATTACTTTATTTAATACTGGGACAAAATAATAAGTGATAACATACATATACAAATACACTATTTATTCAACTACCAAATTAGTTAGAAATAGCATACTGTATAAAATACAAAAATAATAGTAGAAAAAAAGGAATAATTTCATAAAGAAATGATGATTTAATTACTAAATATAAATATACAAATGGACTGTGTAATATAATAAAAGCCAAAGAGTTAACCAAATTTAAATCTGGATAACTAGAAAACATTAAACAATTTTTTTTTAAAAACTGTTATTTTAATTTTGTTTATGCATGTATATTATGTATGAAATACAAAAAAATATTAAATCTGATAAGTTCCCTAGTAAATATTCAAATTTACATACTTACATCTTAAAATCACTGGTTTTGTTTATATATACACCTAAAATAATTATTATTGGTTAATATAAGGGAGCACAGAAATATATGCCATTTTCTAATATAGTTTTATGGTTTCAGATCATTTTATTAAAACTTAATGAGAAAATGAAAAATTCAATAATTTTACATGTTTTAAATGTTTGTATTATAAAACATCAAAGTTCAAAATTGGAATGTTTCAAACAAATATTACTCTATCTTTATTGGCTGAATTTGAACAACGCAAAAATATATTTTCAACCATTTTGTAAACTTCACCAGGACTCTTGGAGGCGTCCACTTTAGAATGAATTCCTAAATAATAAATAATAATATTTTGTAATTCATAATTATTAAATTAGAGTTTATAAATACCTTTTTTCTGATAATAATCTATTAATGGAGTTGTTTGCTTATGATACGCATCAAGACGTTTTTTTAAAACTTCTACATTATCATCATTACGGCGAATTAATGGCTCACCAGTTAACTAAAAAGAACAGACAAATGTTTAAAATATAACTTTTTCATTATTGTATTTATATTAATTTATTAATGAACGCTTTTGAAATACAAACATTTATTATATATACATTGTATAAAATAAAACTACAAAAATTGAAAAAAGCTACTTATAGAGACAAAATTAATATTGAAATAAGACTATCATAAATATAATAGCTTTTGGGTCATCTTTCCTTCAGTTTTTAATATAAATTATTCTAGGTTGTGAATTGCACAGAAATCCCAACCTTATGAATAAATATTGTGTTGTGAGATAAATTAAAATTAAGGCGCCTATAGATTAGTCATTATTTGCTTAGTAAATATTTGACAACAGACAATAATACTTAGCAATATTATATTTTAAATCAAACTTACATCATCTTTCATATCAACCTTTGGTGGATGAAATTCATCATGATAAGAACGGCCACTAGCTGGGTGAATCAAACGACCTGTTATACGACGTACTAACAGATTATCACTTATATTGAACTCAATTACAGAGTCCAACTGGGTTTTCCGTTTTTCTAAAAGAGTGTCCAACTAAATGTATATTTTTATATTAATATTATAAATTATTTAAGATATAATTAGTTCATTATTTTATATTTTACTTTTTCAGCTTGTGGTACTGTTCGAGGGAAACCATCCAATAAGAATCCTTGTCTACATTCTGGCCTATCTAAATTTCGATCAATCAAATCGACAACAAGATTATCGCTAACTAGACCACCTAAAATTATAATTTTATTAAGAATAATTTTAATCTAAATATCAATTTGAAGTAGCAATATAAATCACTTAAATTTGAATACAAAATATAAATACACTTATTTCAAACAATATACTACAAAACAAATTAATTTAATTACTCATAAATGAAATTATACTAAGAGTCAGATTAAATAAGAGTAATGAATATTACTATAAAATATTATAAAATGATTTGTTGCCGAAAGCAAGTATCATTTTTTACGACATTTGTCATTAAACATATTTTGAATTTTAGCTGATTGTGATTGAAGAACCCTTATTAAAATATAAAATTTTTATAGATTCATACACATCTGATGTAAAGTTTTGAAAAACTAATTTGGTAAAATGTGAACATAATGTCTTTATAAGATAATATAAGATATCTGACGAAAATATACAAGTCGGATTCTAAAAAGTATAATATGTTGTACTTATTTAATTTATAAAAATTAGAAGAGAAAAATTAAAATATGTTTAAAAAAGAAAGAGTAGAAGTACCCGATTCTATGACCCAATTCAATCACTGACACCCTTAGTACCACCATCACCGAAGAAACAGTCAAGACGCTCATAGTTATTGTTCACATAGAGTCAACAAATTTACCTGACTCAATGACTTTTTTTACTGTCTGGCCCAGTTGGGAGCCTGAAGCTACTTCAGAGCGTAACATATCTCCTGTGGCCAGGTGACACAAATAAAATTTCTCTAATAATTTTGGAGCCTAAAAAAAAAAACAACTAAAATTAAAATCAGTAGATATATATTATTTGCAACGCGAGTCACAAACAAAAGGTATTGTTTACCTGTGTTCCCTTACCCGAACCCGGGGGTCCGAGGAGAATGGCGTTGATGCCAGGCAATTTGACATCGTCTTCAGGTTGAAGTTGTACCGCAGTGGCTAAAGGTGGCATGGCGTTTATTCGGTTTAAGTTAGAATGCTGAAAAGGGAGACTACCTTCTCTAACGATCAGGGGAAAATAAAACAGAAAACCCAGTTGTGGTCTAATAGCAAGTAATATAAAATATTTATATATTGTGTGAGCACGTTCTGCTTATTTTTTTCATGGCGTCGGAGAGAGCCAGAGAGGTTAAATCATAATCAGCCGTTTCTAAAGATAAGAATTAAGAAGTGATAACAGAAAAAAAACTGCAAACAAGGTCATGCTATCACGGGAAGGTGACCACGAATGAATTTTTTAGAGGTAAATTAGGCCAATAATTAGGTACTATCCATATACAGAGTGATCAACATAAGGTAAGACACTTCTCATCTCTGAAAGTACTAATTTTTTCGGAATTTGTTTTTTAATTTGTATAAGATTTACGGAATAAGTAGCTCTAAAATGTTAAATTGGTCTTTTTTGTCACTTTTATTGTAAGGTTTGGAACTATATCAGTTACTTTTGATTTTCAAATAGGTAACAGCATATTATATTGAAAAATAAATAAATGAAATATTAGATTAAATCAATTTTGGTGATGAAATGTTTAATTTTCGTGAACTCGTTGACGAGGTATTTCACTTTGAAGTTTCGGAGTGGGGAAAGCAGTGGTACATAATTTATATAATACTTAGTAATTACTAATGAGTAATGAGTAGAACTACTTATGGTGTGGCTATACGACGCGGGTCTTTTTATTTTATACGATGAGATCACCACTGTTATTTTGTGATAAAAAAAATTTGTTTAGCTGAAATATATCACTTATCACAATATAATACTATTATATATTTACCTCTTATATAAGAAAAAAAATACATCATTGTAAAACAAATATTTCCGCTAATATAATACACTTCTCATTTTTTTTTTTTTTTTGTGGAAAACTTTTCTACAAGAGATCTTACTCCAATTTTTAAATGTAGCACCTTTTCAGAAAAGAAATCGGTGTGGGCAGGTACTTTAATCAGGACATTTTTCGATTTTCTCAGGAGTTCTCTCAACAAATGTGAAAAACCGAGAGAAACCATGGGAAAATCAGATCAATATTAAACAAATATTATTAAAGAAAATACCGTAACGCCGCCGTCTTAAATTTGTGAATTTTTATTTATTAAAAAAACTGCTCAGAAAAACAAAAAATGGCTTTTTTTAATCACGAACTAAAATTAAAAATATAACTAAAATGGTCTTATGTATTTTTCTATTGGAGCAATATCTCTGATAGAAAACATAGTATACAAAAATAAAAAATAATGAAATCTGAATTGATAGGTAAATATTGATACCGTAAATATTTGCTGTTTTTCCGATAATATTTTCATTGATTTATTTATCAACCGTTAGTTCATCATAATATAATATTAAATATTTAATACTAATGTCCGGTTGTACCAAACTTCCATTGATAAATATTATATTAAATATTTATATAATGATAAACTACCTACTGGTTGATAACTTAAAGTTTTAAGATATTGTGTTAAATTTACGAGTGTCGAGTCATTGTTTTATATTCAGGTTATTACCAGAATACTGGTTAACGAATAAATAGTTCCACTTGGAGAGCCTTTATAATATTAATAAAATAATAATAATATTATAGGCTCTCTAATTTCACTGTACTAGCAGCAGAAGTAACGCAAAACATTGATATTGAAATTTACTATACATTCATTTTTACACGACGATGGACTTGTAATTTATAACAAGAGTTTTTAAGAGTTCTTGATAAAATAAATTTTTATCAACGGATAAATTTAAAAAATGGTTTTTGCAACAGATTTTATTTTAACTACAAATGAACGAGATTATATCTGTGTGAATATTTTGTGCAGCCCGGCATTTACTTATCAATAAATAACGACAAGTTTGATACATTAATGACACAGTCTTAGATTTATGATGACCGCGCTCCGTTTGAAATACGCGGATACCTATGCCAACGAACCAGAAAAGTTTTATGTAACTCGGTCAACTAACGTTAAGGGGGGTTAAGGTTGTATACTTTCAAACTTTTATAACAAAGAAGTTTACATACTTTCAATTGTAAGATTATTTATTTTTCATTAAAAATGTCAATATTTTATAACATTCATTTTCAGCTTTTTAGGTACTTATTACTAAGTTTTATGTTTAATAATTTTTTATTGAATACAGCCTTAATGATAACGTAATCCATATTATTGTGAGGATAATACGCACTATGCAATATCGTCGTATCAGTTATAATTTTCTAAAAGCAAAAAAACCACAAACAATATTAAGCTAGAAAAATAAAATAATTCGTTGTTACTATTGTTTAATATATTAATCGTAGGTATTGAATATTGATACACAAATGTAAATGGAGTTTCTCTAAAATTTAAAACAGATAAGATTTATTACATTTACACAATATTTTTTACCTCACATATAATCAACATTATTAACATTTTGACAATTTTTCTTGTTAAATGGACATAGTTAATAATGTACCTCTGTAGGTGTTGATAGAGACACCTAGATTTCCCGATTGGCTCCTTTTTTTTGATAAAGAGCCGTGGTGCTGGCCTTAATCTACTTATCTATCCTTAATATACCATGTTATACCTTTATATAAAACTCGTAATTCATAATATATAGATACACAGATATATATTTGCAGACGGGCATTCATCAACTATGCGTTATATAGGTACGATTATTTTTTACTGTCTCAATAGATCGCGTGAGTATTAAAAATAATTTCAAATAAAGGTAAAGGGTATTAACTATTTATGTAAAATCTATTATAGGTAGGTACCTACGTAATATTAATATCGTCGATTGAATATTAAATGTACAATAATTAATCAATGTTACCATGTCTGTATTGGAGATATCGGGAATAGACTCGTTTATGATAGTTATTTATTGCATTTCAAAATACAATTTATAACTATAAAATATATTCATTTTGATTTGTGGCATTAATATGAAATTAAAAAAAATGTAGAATCTTGACACAAGTAAATTATTTCCAAACAATATATATTATACAGAAAATAAATAGGTACCTATATATATATATATATATAATACGTAATACAAGAATTATGTCCCATAGTTTAAACTAGATTTCCTTTATTAATATTGAGTATGTCGTGTAATATGAAATTATATTGTTTGATAACCTATATATTATGATTGCACTTTTAATAGAATTTATTATGCGTTGATAAAACTAAAAAAAAATCCGAGTATCTCCCTAAGTATTAGTACTGTACTTACCTCGTTATCTATATTCTATGTTTATGTACGTATAGTTATTATTTTATGTAAATGCAACTATAATAAGTCATTTTAAAAAATATGCAAGATTCAAAGGTTTTATTCGTAATAGTTGTAATTAGCATATTAGTTGCTATAACATATGCTACGAATCCAATCGTAAATTTAAATCAATTATTACACCGAGTTTCTCAAATCAATTTAATCAATGTAAGTCGTCTTTAGTTTTTAAACTATTTAAATATAGTAGATCAAATTTATAATATACAATGTATGTAACTACATTTTTTTTTTTTTATTAATTAAATTAATAATTGTTGTATATTGTTTAGAAAGAAAAACCAGAAATTAAAGTTATAAATTCTTTAATTAATGAAGTCGTTAACAAGTACTTAAGGAGTTGCCATCTGAACATAATTTATGATGACCTATTCAATACCGATATTTATTACAGAGTAATTATTTTAAATATATAATATACTTTTATTATGTTACATTAAAATTGATAATATAAGCAGTTAGTTGGTAATGAAAACAAACAGATGGATAATTAATTATTTTTGTTATAAATATATTATATATTTATGTAGGTCCATATTTTATTGTTTGGGAAGATGGTTATGGCCTGTGGTACTGTGTAAAATGTACCTAATCTACTGTCAAGTTTAAATTACCTAAGACTTATGAGTGTTCGGTACAAATAATACAATTATGAGACATGCACAATCATAAATTAAATTATTCTCATTTTGTCATGTGCATAATAATGACTACAACACTTAGATTATTTTTTTGAACGTCTATAGTAAGTTAGGGACATAATAGTGATACTTTGAAGATTTGAACGTTAACTAAATTATTGTCTTTATCTAGTTCGGATAACTATGGTAAATCGTAAAATATGAAAAGAAATATACATAATTTATAGCCGTTTAAAGTTTAAACAGGAGGAGTAGGAAAGTGTTATTTATGTATCATTTATAAAAATATAGGCAATTTATTACGTCTATTAAAGGAAAATTCAAAATTTTACCTCGTTAAAGTACCACCCCAGGAAAATTTCCTTTCAGAAAAAGTGCTGCACTTGAAAATCAGAGCAAGATTTCTGGTAAAATTTTTGTATACGGTATGAAAAAAATAAACATTGCAAAATCAATACATTCTTTGCTTCGCTCAGAATCTAAAATCACTCTGCATAACAGTATAATAACATGTTATTTTGGTTTCAAAGAATTTATTTTCATGCGTATTCATTTTCATATATATATATATCTATGTATTATTTATCAATACAATATATTATAATATATAGGCTTTGCTAATTTATGACCTCGTTTTTTTCCACGTTGCCATGTCACCCTATATTATCATTACGATTAAGTATAACAAATATAATATGAATAAAAGTTATATAATAATATTTTACTGGATTATTTTACAATTTGGCCAGGAATGGTTTCCCCGTGCAGGCTTCTATAGTATTATAGTACCTACCTATATGATAATATATGATAATATATGGACATAATATGTATACAATACATATATTATACGTTCATAAATTAATTAAACAAAAAATAAAAATACATATTTAGTATTTATACTTAATGAATTAATTACAAATATTAACTACAGTATAATTAATGAACTAACAAAAGAAACAATTTATTGAAATTGGTTTACAGCAGATGAAGGGTTTTGTCCCTTTTAATTTCGCTTTCGGCGCAGATGATACTTAACGCCTAATGTTTTATTTTTCGCGTTCTTCTTCCTCTCGCTTTAAATGCACTTGGCGGACATATCTCTTTACTGCTTCCCAGTTGTTTCTAGACTTGAGTATGTTGTCGACCACAGTATTAGGCTCGAAGACACATCCAATACATTCCTTAAGTTCTTTTCGGTGTCGCCACTAGCGATCGCATCGGAATATGGCGTGTTCCGTATCGTTAATATCTGCTTGGCAGTCTATGCACTCTATATACTCGGATCTTCCCGCTTCTTGAACCTATGGAGAAACTGGCTAAAACTTCCATGACCTGTTAGAATCTGCGTCAGATGGTAGTCAACGAAGCTAAATTGCCTGGTTGACCACTGCTTTACCTCCATGTCCATCGTCCCGTTTCAGCCGCGTTACACTCCTCTTGTCATATCCTATATGTTTCTTCTCACTCTACTCTTTCTATTTCTTTTTGCCTTAATTGTGCTCTTTTATCGCATCTCATTTGTCTATCTCTGGCCTGTAAGTATACCGGAATAAACCCCGCTATTACCATAATCGCAGCCGTGGAAATCGTTCTACACTCTTAATGGAATGGATCTTTGAGGTCTTTGAATTATACTAATATTTGTTTTGTATACTAATGCACCCGTCCAAACTAGAACCACGTATAGCAATTGACTGGTAACTACTGACACTAATAGTTGTCGTTTTCGCTGTCTCGAGTCTCCTACGTTTGGCATCAGCCTTGATTAGGGCTGATGATGTGGAGGACACTTTCGCCGCAACCGTTTCCAGGTGTTTTTATATCTTCAAACCCGACTTAACTCAACTCTTAGGTATCGCACTTGTTCCTCAACAACACTCTCTAGATGTGTCTCTAGTCGTCCCTTAATAGCTAGCCGACTGTGTTGAGGAGACATATGGGTCAATACGATGATGGCTGCTTTAGGGGTTTGCCTCCTTTTCGGAGTAGTACTAATTTCGCCGTCTTAGGAAAGAATCTATGGTTAAAACACTAATTAAATATTTCTAATAGAATCTATGATCGCCACTATCTCCTTTATAACTATATCCAGTATTCCATCTGGACTTAAAGCCTTACCTAATGTTAATTTGGAACTGGCTTCTTTAACTTATTATTTATTATCCAGTTATTTCTGAAAAATATTGATTTGAAACCCTGGGCGACCACATTATTATTGCTTCCCGGGGAATCAAGGGATCTACTATAGTTTCCAGTCTGCCAGGAAGTGTAAGTTCAGGAATTGGTCTTCTGCCAACCAGTTTTGTGGTCACAATTTTATATAGCAGCCTTGGGGGCTGCCTCTACCTGGTTCAATAGCCACGGCTATTGAATTTAATTTCTGCGGCAGCAGCAAAATAACGTAGATAGCCGCGACTATGTTCGATGGGTTGCGGAAGTCCCTCCGAGCATATCTAACGCCGCTCGAAACGTCGTCTAATAAGACGGGTCCACCACAATTGAATGCGAACAACTTCGCGTCACCCTGTTTTTAAACTATTTGGACTTGTATTATTTTTTGTGAATTTTAATTATTGGACTTTTATTTTTTTTGTTGTTTAAAATGTATAAATTAATTGGACTTAGTGAATTTTTGTAAATGAACTTGTGTTTTATATTAGAAATATTAATATGAAGTTAGAACTCGAGTTGGAGTTTAATTTATTTCGACATTTCCTTCTAAGTCATCCTTACGTTGGGCCTGTTATAGGAGCAAAGAAGCTTAATATTTTATGAAGATTTGTATTTATTTATTTATTTTTTTTTTTTTTGTGTAACTTTTCTTTTTGAAATGTTACTTCGATTTTTAAGCGTGGCACCTATTATGAAAGGAAATCGGTGTGTGGAAATACTTTATAAAGATCATTTTTTGTTTTTAACAGGAGTTTTTTCATAAAATGTGAAAACCGAAAAAAAGACGGAGTGAAAACGGGAAAATGTACAAAATATATTACGAAAATATTACGGTTTTTTTTTTGTGAACAACTTTTTTGACAGAAACTTTGCCCCAATTTATAATGATAGCAACTTTTTTAAAAGTAAATCCAATTGGGGAGGTTCTTTAAAGAGGTCAATTTTTGATTTTCTCACTAGTTTTTCCAATAAATGGGAAATTTGGGAAAAATTATGGGAAAACCGTAGGAAAAACGGGAAAATAGGTATAATATTGAACAAATATTTTTAAATAAAATATATATTGTCTATGTAATTATTTTACCACGATAATATGACATATATATTGTTGACAAAGCAACTACACTATCAACTGAACTCTGCTCAAAATAGTTTCTTCGTTAGCAATGGTTAATCATTGCTAACAGGTGACATACATTATCTGTTACCTATAAGAGTGGCTGCATCCGTCCCTATTTTCCTAGCCCTAAGGACAGCTTTTCCACAAATGCATTGTAATTGTAATTACTTATTTATATACTACTTAAGTCTATTATTTCAGTTAGGTATAAATATAAAATGTAGTATAAATTGTATTATTATTTTAATTTTTAATAATTTTTGTAAGAATAATTTTTAATGAATAATTAAATTATTTTAAATTCTTACATTATTAATACTATATTTTATTACGCCAATAAACTATCATTATTATAACTTATAATAAAATAATACAAAATTTAATTATTTGAAGCAATATACAGTTCTTTATAACAGAATTTTAAAATACACTTAACATTTCAACAGTTGTTTGAATTTAACTATAACGATTTTATAGTGTTGGCTTAGCCTAAAATAATAATAAATTTTGATATTATTTTAAATTTTAAAATAAACATTAATCATACAAGCGATATGATTCATTTTCAGTGCATAGACAATTTATCATTTATTAATACATCGAAGGTCAAATTGGATAACAGAAATATTCCTACAAAAATTATTTATCGAGAAAAAAAACTAAACACTTAACAAATAAAAGTGGATAATTTTATTTTCAATAATGAATAAACAATAATAAATATTTAAATATAAGTACCATTAAACACATGTTTAGTACTTACCTACTGGCTACTATGTTTTATTCAGTGGTTAAAGTGGGAAAAACTTCGAAGAGAGACTATATGTTTCCCGAAACTGACACACGTAAAAATAAATTTAAACAGAGTTTGATTACATACGAGGTTTGTAAATAAAGTAATGAGACTGATTTTTTAAAATTTTTTTATTAAACTAAAATGACTACTTTACATTGTCTCCTTCAAAGTAGTTACCCTGAGAATCCACATAGCGCTGGAGTCGATGTTTCCATTGTTTATAGCAGTTCTGGAACTCAGTTACTGGAATAGCTTTCAGTTCATCGGTCACAGATGATTGAATATTTTCTAGTGTCCCAAAATGTCGTCCTTTAAGGTGAATCTTTATTCGTGGAGAGAGAAAAAATTTACAAGGGCTCAAGTCGGGTGAATAAGGGGGTTGAGGGGCCACAGGTATATTTTTGGTTGCCAAAAACTGGTTGATTGAAATGGCTGTGTGACAAGGCGCATTGTCATGATGCAGCACCCAGGTGTTTTTGATGTTTGGNATTCACGTTAGTTTGTTTAATACAAATTTAATTAAAAGAGTTTGAATAATTTTAATAATTTTAATAAAAATAATATACTTATCTACAAATGTAGATTAAAACGGTGGTGTGAGTCAATCCTAACTGTTCTCCGATCATTCTGACGGTCAACCGACGATCGGATCGGACAAGATCTCGAACTCTGATGACGTTTTCATCAGTTTTTGCAGTTGAAGGTCTTCCACTGCGAGGTTCATCTTCAATCGCCTCTCTGCCTTCAGAAAATGCCTTAAACCACCTAAAAACCTGAGCCCTTGAAAGTACACTTTCTCCATATACTTGTTGGAGCTTTTGAAAAGTTTCTGTCGCACTGTGTCCAAGTTTGAAACAAAATCGGATAGCACACCGTTGCTCAAAATTATTGTCACTCATTTTCAGAACGTACTAAAAAAAATCGGTTTACGAAAATAATTGTTACAGACCAACGCGTGGCACTACGGAGTTTAAATTCGTCCTGAAGGTACATTAAATGTTTATCTACAAACTTTTTCAAACGGAAAGTCATTAGTGTTATCATATAATAAGCTACGATATCAGTCTCATTACTTTATTTACAGACCTCGTATAATCTAATAGGTATTAAATAATTTGTATTTAATAAAACTAATTGGAGTTTATAAAATTGTATTTAAAATGTTTTAACAAAAATAACTAAAGCGTCCCCTTGAAATTTGTAAACTTGCACTAAAAGACTTTTACATCATAAGAAGGAGAGTCTGTACATTTCCACTTTAACCACTGACTTTACTAATTACTTACACATTTATAATTTCTGAATACATTGAATTATTCAGTAATTGCATGTAAGTATTTATAGATAATTTCTTTTCAGGACGTATTACAAATAATTTTATCATCTCTTGATTCGGTATCGTATGAACATTTCCATATCCATAAGTACTCTTCAAAGATAACTACGGTTTCGGAGCCTGGATGTGTAAACTATATGATTTTTTGTCAAGATCCTGAAATTACCGGAACTAAATTTGGCTATGCAGTCGATAGTAGAGTATTCATAGTGACGATTGGATCTAGCTGGCAAATTCGAGAATTTTTTAATAGCCTAATATCCCAAAATATTATGAACTTGTTGGTAGCTTCTGCTGGTTCAGCTTTACAAGAAAAAAATCAGAATGTAATTAATTAACATTAATATGATTATAGGGTTAAAAAATATAGTGGGCAACTTTTGAATAAAGGCATAATATGTTTAAATAATTTAAAGTCCTTAATTTATTTAGTAGTATACGTTATAGATGTTTTAAAGTTTTAAATCCATTTTTAATTTAAATGGATGGTACCTGGTACTTGCTTAATTCCTATTAATTAGTTAGGTTAAATATATTAAATTTAAGTTCTATTTGTGATACAGTTACTTGTACCTATTTTCGATTTCGCTAGTTTATTCCTTATAAAGTTACTAAGAGTGTATCTATTTACGTCATTTATGAGTACCCACCTAAATAGTTAGGTAAGTCAATCAATTTCAAAGTTATCTATCCTTCTGTAGTAGCTTTGTTATGATGTGAAAATTTGCGTATAGATGACCCTTCAGCGACGATGATTGATTACGATTTACGGCTTGCCGAAATAGTGGGTGGACACTGGACAGTCTGCAGAGTGATCACATTTGAATATAAATTATTGTAACTATGTACCTATTATGGTTTCTAATAAGTGAATCTCAAAATAGACCTATGAGTCAAAAAATTGTGAAATTACATTCAAATTCAATTTGATTATAATTAGTGTGATGGCTCAGTTTTGACTATTAATTGTCAATTTATAGTTTAAAAAATAACCTAGTGATTAATTGATTGAATTTATACTCGTTGATTATTTTGAAAATTGTCGAATGAATTAACCAATAGACAACAGTTGTCATTCAGTAGTAGCACCAACTAGTTTTGACTATCGATAATTTAAAGAACCAGCCAAATATTTTTTCGAATGGTTACCAATTATGTTGAATGTTAAATGTTTATTAAGATTAACTAGTTCAGAAATATCCTTAGTTTTGTGTATTATATTAATAATATCCCTACGTAGGAATATGATAGTCTATATTATGTTGTCAATGTAGCTAAATAAAGTTTTCACTATACAAAAATTGGTTTATAGAACAAATTCAAATCAATAGTTTGGGTGGGTGGGTCCTAATTTGTATTGTTTTTCCCGAAGTATAAAAATGTTTTGAAAGCCACTCAATTATAATATATTCTTTTAGGAGATACCGGATATCAAATTATATACTCACCAAATTTATATAGATGGTTTAGGAAGTAGCACCCAAAAAATTTTAACGACGTGGAGAAAAGATAAATTCACAAGACCAGAGATTAATTTATATCCAGTTAAATTAGTTCACGGATTTCAAGGACACCGGTTTATTTTGTCTACAATAGAAAAACCACCATTAGTATTCCGAAGGTACCTAGTATCTAGACATGTTTGTTTGTTATGTTTTATTTGCTTGTATGGTTTTAATGTGTTTTGGTTTTATTGGTAGTACACAAGTCAGAAACTTTGGACATGAAGAACAATCTACATCATGGGACGGAATTGAAGTTCGGTTGTTACGAATAATCGCACAAATATTAAATTTCACTTTAGAAATACACGATGCTACTATAGTAAATACAGCAAGGTACCTAATTACTTTAAATTCAATAGATTCATAATAGTTTAAGACACTTTAGTTATATATTTAAAACTTTATAACTACAGGCATCGTTATTTTGTGAAATTTGCTTATTCTCCAACCATTATTTCTATTGGAATTTCCCGAACAAACTACCAATATAGTGACTTTTAGAACGCAGTTAGAACATAAAGAACCCTGCAGTACCTACCTAGTTGAAATTTAAATTATTTCATTTTACTTACCTTTTACTTAAGTACCTATTTATTCACGTTATTATTTCCAGTTTAGTTCTATCTATAGTTTAAGTTGTTAAAAATCGTATGTTGAACTTGACATATTTTAAAACAACACATAAAAAGTCACAAACAAATTTAAAAAAAGTTCTTACGATTCCTCTTAATCAAACGTTGTATAGCTAGAGAATCGCATTCTTCGTATGCCCCTCTTTTATCGTTTCTCAACCTCGAAACACTTAAACAAAGTCGTTTAAGACTAGATTTATACTTTGCGTGTAAGCTATTCACAGGAAACATTGACTGTCCTGTTCTGAAGTCGTTTTTCCTTCCATACACCTATACTCGTAACACCCGGTCTAAAAATACATTTTATCTTAATACTGAAGAAACCAATTATGCAATAAATACCCCCTCCCCCCAATAGAATTATGAAAACAATAAATTAATTAAAAATCGATTTGTTCATATTACCAAACTTTAACTCATTCAAAATATATTATAATTTCATACTTGTTAATACATGTAGCTAATAGCTATTAGTACTATACTAATTTTATTTAATTTTGTATTGTATTTATTATTGTTAACGAACGATTGTTATTAAATTTCATGTAATTGGGCTTGGCCCATTTAAAACTTAAATAAATAAACAAAATAGACATTAAGCTTATACGTGGTACCTACATATGACCGAATGGACATTCCATTTTATATTTTTTTTTGTCTAGGGACGAAGCCGAAGACCGTATTATTGATGATTTAGTCGCTTCCAAGGCTGATATGGGAATATCAGGTTTATACATAACCAATACTCGTAATAAATTGGTGGATTTTTCTCCTGTTGTTATGCAAGACTGTGGGACATTTATGTCTTTGGGATCCTACGCTTTGTCCAAGTAAACAATATTAGTATTTATTCAATATTACTGTTAATGGTGTTTATATTATAGCTTATTAAATGAAACTAAATTAATATTGATAACTTTTTTTTTAATTTTCTCATATTGTTCTGGTGAGATTGTTAGATTACAGAACCGGAATACCCTGGGAAGTGCCCGTTTAAGTCTCGTACGAGTCTTCGAATTATTATTTGATATATAATATAACTACCATCAAAATAATATATACAATTTGAATTAAGATCTATCTTATTTAATTTAATATTATATCTGCCAGTAAAAATATCAAGCAATACTAATATTATAATAGGTAATGATAGGTAGGTAATTATAATGTATAGTTATAGATACATATTGCGTAAAAAAATATTTACGATAATACCAACTAGTAAAATAGTAAAATAGTTCTCATCACTTGTACCTTGCAATTGGTTTAGTCCATTAAGGGTAAAATGAAGAAAAAATCTCTTAGAAAATGTATAAATGGCCTCCTCAGAGTATCACTCAGATAAAATTTCATTTCATAAAAGGTACATCACTTGAATATCGGATCAAGATTTCTGGTAAAAAATTTTTTACAGACAAAAAATAAAAATAAATAATAAACATTAAAGTAAAACCAACAAATTCCTCGCTTCGCTCAAATTTTAATTTTTGTCAGACACGTCCTGCGAAGCTTTATAAATTTTTGATTTTTGAACACGGCCTTAGAGTCCAAAAAGGTTACCGAACAATGGTTTAGAGTTAAAAGAAGTTGATTTTATGATTATCTACAGTATTCATTTTCTAATATGTATACCTATTATTATTACTAGCTATCTCGCACGGAAAAAACTATCTATGCATAACATAAATACAATATAATATACCGTTGTTTATGGGTAATTAGCTTCTCCCAGGTTAATTTTGCACCAAAAAAAAAAAAAAAGGTTTGATTTTGGAAATGGATATAATCCAATTTGATTTGAGCTATTTTTATATCTTACCGCCATACATGGTGGCAGTTTTATCGGTCATCAGTGCGTCATTAAGTGTGACACCGTTAAACACTTGCAAATTTAAGCTGTCAAACTATACTTTGTGGAGCGTAGAGCTTGTGGATTTCAACGTAAGATATAAGTTATTCACATTCGAAATTTAGTGGCGAACACTTTACTGTATGAAGATTTGTGGTTAAACAGTTTTTGAATAATTTAAAAGCAAATTTCATGATTGGGGTAACATAGCATCACTAAAATAGGTCTCTTTGAGCCAGTGTTTATATTATTGTATTTTAGCGAAAAGTTTCCCAATCACTTTTTATTTTCTATTCTGGATTAGATAACAGTTGGTTTTTCTTAATAATAATCCTGAATGATCATTTTTTTTCATTGATAAAAATGCCTCGAGTGTATATGAGAAAATTGGCCATTAAAATGCCATTCAAATCTTGCCATTATAAAGACTACACCGATGAAACATCTAAATGTGTAACTGCAATTAAAAATAAGGAGTCAAAGAAAAGCTTCTCTAGAAATCGGCATTCTTAGGCGCACAATTTATAATAAAATAAAGGATTATCATACTAAGAATATAGGTGTGCCAGTAATATTCACGGAGGAGGAAGAAACTGTGTTTGCTAATTGTATAATACATCTAAGCAATTATGGTTTTCCAATGGAAGAATATGATTTAAAAATGGTTCTAAAATTTTATCTTCAACAAATTGGCCGGGTATAAGGTAGTAAAAATGTTTAAAGGAAATGTTCTAGATCATGATTGGGTATTAATCTTCCGAAAAATAAACCCCCAACTCACAAAACGTTTCGCTAATAATATTAAAAAATCACGTGCGAGGATAACCGAAGATGATTTACGCCAAAATATATCATTTTTATCTAAAGAATTGGAGGGAGTTCCTCCGAATAATATTTTCAACTTTATCGAGGCAAATCTTGTAGACGATTCTCGCAAAAAAAAGGTTATTATACGACGAATAAAATACCTCGAACACATTCAAACCACCTCTAAGGCTGGGACGTCCATCATGTTCTGCAGTAGTGTTTCAGGGAAATTGTTACCCTTGTTTGTATTATACAAATCTCAACATATATGAGTTTACCTGGACTGAAGGAGGTCTTCTTGGTACTCAGTATAGTAATAGTCCAAGTGGTCTGGTTCTTCTTTACTTTTCGAATAGTTTGAATGCATTTTTGTTCCTCAAATTCGAAAACTGGAAGGAAAAAAGTTGTGATCTGTGACAATATAGCTTTTCATTTTTCAGTTAAAGTTTTTTAGAGTATATCACATAGCCAATAGGCTGTGGCAGTATTCCACAGTATAAAGAGTTCATGGAAGAAACTAAAACTATTAGGAGAGTAGAAACCAAATAATGGTAATAATTTGGTGACTAAAGAAACATGGCAATTATTTTGCGTCGTTTGTTACTAAAAATAGAGCTCACCATAACAGACAATTTAAAATCTGAGTTTTAAACTTGTGGAATATTCTGATGTAATGTGGTGTTATTGAAAAAATTCTTGGTCAAGATACTACAGATAATTCACAGATCATCATAGAGTTATTATTCATTTCTTGTTTAGAGAAGAGAAGGGAAGACTGGATAGAAAAAAAACCTGCTGGTAAACGCAAACAAATAAATGTAACCCCTAGTAAAAGTAGTACAATAGAAGATTTAGTTTCAAAACCATCTATCTCTACTGCCATTCACTCACAAAGAACAACAAGCGCATCATAATAAAAATAAAGAAGGAATAATATTTCAAGATGAATCAGATAACAAAGACTGGCAGGCTTACTGTCGAAGAACTTTAGCAGAAAAAAATACAATTGAAGAAATTATGTTTGAAGAGACTACTGTACCAGTGTTTAAGCTTGTAGTTAAATCCATAAACTCATATTGTGTTGTAACATATGAAAATGTATTTTATCTAGGTGTCATTTTGGAGTTCAGTGATGACTCTGCAAAGATAAAATTAATGAAGAAATCAAACTCTTATTGAACGTGACCTGAATTCTTGGGTATTTTAGATTATAGATGGAAAGATGTGGTAGGCAGTATAGAAGAGCCAATACAAATCTTTACAACAAGAAACATTTATAAAATCTCAAAACTACAGAGATACAATAATTCCTCTATTTTGTTTCCAATAAAATTGTATTGTGTAATATGAGTTAAATTACTAAACAATATTACTTTTGATTTTCAAATGATAACCTACATTAAAAGTTCAAAAAATATAGATTATTAGTTTAAATCAATTTTGGTGTTGAAATATTTGATTTCTGTCAGCCCGTTCTCAAGATATCTATTCTACTTTTAAGTTTAGATAAAGGGAGAATAATAGAACATAATTCAAACGCCACGCGCCGTATCGCTACACAAATATTTTACTACTTTCCTTCTACCCAAATTTAAAAAAGGAATATCTCATGAACGGGTAGACTAAAATTAATTAAAACTAGTAGTCCATCTTTTTATGGAACTATTAATGTACGTTAACATTCGACAATCAAAAGTTAGTAGTCGTCTCACTCCCAAAAATAAGAATCACAATGAATAATGGTGATGTAATAATTTAGAGCTGCTTATTTCTTAAATTGTCAACAAATAATTTTAAATAATGATTGTTCAACGCTAAAATAATCACTCCGTATATCTATCCATGAACTAGTTCATATTCTCAATAATTAGATAGTCTAGTTAGGGCTTTAGACATATTAAGTCAGGTTAGGCTAGGGTCCCAGGTTCGATATGCGACGGTGGATTCTGAAATATGATCGAGTTTTATTTTTCATATTGACTGTGAGAATTCTCATATGAATTCCATAGGTGCGGACATTTGGTCCTTGAAAATCTCCAATAGTCCAGTTCGAAGTTACCAGTAATTTTATATTTTGATTGTTGTAGGTATAGAGCAATATTCGGTCCATTTCATTGGAGTATTTGGGTTATGGTGTTATTTACTTATATGATAGCCATATTTCCAATATCATTCACAAATAACAGAAGTATAAAAACACTGTGTAAAAATCCTAAACAACTAGAAAAAATGTGCTGTTATATGTTTGGAACATACACAAATCTATTTACTTTTAGAGGTGTAAAATCATGGACCAACACCAAAATGGGATCTACCAGACTTTTTATTGGTAGGTAAATAACAATGTAGGAGCTTACATTTTTACAAAATAAATAGGTTCATGTAATATATTGTAAAACATTTTTAATAGGAACATATTGGATTTTTACAATTATTATTACAACAGCATATACTAGTTCGATTATAGCGTTCATAACCCTACCAGAGCAACCTATCACTGTAGACACTTCTTACCAATTAGTTGATGAAGGATACAAAGTTATTACATTGGGTAATTAATAAAGTTTGTAAAAAAAGATAAACTTAAGCATAATAGTAACCTACTAACAAATTCATCTCACACAAATAAGAATTATTTTTTAAATAGTTTTACTGCCACAGTATTTATATAGTTAGGTATCTAGAAACCCTCGAAGAAAAATAATAATTCTATTTATTTTTTTTTTTTAATGGAATTTTGATTTATTGTATATATTAAAAAGTAAATACAATTGATATCTATAAAACTAAAATATTCACCAAATATATTCTCATACGTGACATAGGTACTCTATTAAATTATTAAGTTGTAAATTAAAATTCACTTTTCATTATTAAATATAAAAATAATTTCGGATTTATAATTCTGAAATTTATATGCATATACGTACTTTACTTGTATACTACAGGCTATACAAGTTGTGTGTACTAAATCCTAACAATTATTTATAATTTGTTGATTTAAATAATGATTAAATAATTTAATATTTACAATAACTTTATAAACTTTTCAATATAAATCTTTTATTGTAACATTTTAAATTAACATAGGTTAATACTAATTTAGAAAGAAACATCACATTACATACCAACTTATTTGATTAAATATTGAAAAAACATTTGGGGTTATAATTTATATTTTAAAATGAAAATAATATAAAATACTAAAAACACTTCTATATTTTAGATAAGGGTGGTTGGCAATCTTACTTTAATATCACCAATGATATAATTTCTAAAAAGCTCATTTCAAATGTGAAGTCTATGAATAATTTGGAAGATGCAATAGATTATATTGTTAAAACTAGATTTATTTTGGACTATGCTTTCTTGGGTTCTAAAATTTCACTCAGTTATTTATCCTTTAGCAACTATATACAAAAGTAAGTATAGATCAAAATTCAATCAATTTGGCTTATAATTGGTCTATTATTATATTTTTTAGGTACAAAAATAAGAAAATATTTCTTCATGTTGCTTCAGAGTGTTATGTTCCATTTAGTGTTGGTGTAGCATATAAAAAAAATTTTATATTTCGAAATATATTTAGTAACTATATTTTACGGGTACAACAAAGTGGAATCTTGACCAAAATAATAAAAGATGTTGAATGGGAAATTACACAAAGGTCAGGACTTAAACAAGTAAGTAAAAATAACAATGAATATTTAAGCCTAAACAATATAGCTATACATTTTTAGTCAGTTTTAAATTCACCTGAAGACCGTCAACTGGCTTTAGATGATGTGCAAGGCATGTTTGTGCTATTAGGTGGAGGTATATTACTTGCTGCGTTCACATTGTTGATTGAAATCATTAAACAAAAAAGGGAAAGAAGAAAAGTTGCTCAAGTTAAAGTGAAAAAATATACAAAAAATAGGTCTATATCCTTAACTGTCAAAGAAAATACTACTAATGAGTTTTTCAGACCATCAACCACTTACTAAAATAACTAATAAATAAATACAAAATAAACAAATCACGGCTTGTAAGTTAGATGTATAATATAGATTATAATAAAGATAAAATTTATTATTGAATTTTTAAATAGTAAACTTTGTATTATTTTGTACAGACCATTCTTGTATGAACCAAATATTATTACTTAAAGTTTTCATTTGTTTCCGCAGGATCCTCATTAATAGAGATAGCACTTGTTTTTCTAGAGTTACTGAAAATTTTTAGAATACATTTAAATCATGGTTTTAAAAAATGTATGTTTTACTCACGATTTAGTGGAAACTAAAGATGAAGTAGATAATAGTATAGACAGTTGTTCAGATGTAGGGCATGCAATTAATTGTTGTTCTTCTTCAGAATAACTGTTTGTTGTTAAAAATTGTTGAATTCTCGTAAAAATATGCAAAATATTATTCTAAAGAAATATAAACATAAATAAGTATCATCAAATTGTATTTATTTTTTTTAAATTAATTAATGAACCTTAATAGGTCTGTATAAAACAAATTGAGTATCTGCATTGGCTAAGTATAACGCCATACTTTGCAGGAATAATGGTAAATCTTTTGTAATTTTTACTAAAGTATCTTGCACTTTTTCTTGTATAGCTTTAGGTTGAGCAAACTCTTGTTGTTTAACAATGGCAGGCAAACCTTGCATATTGCACCATTTTATATACTTTTGAACCTTAAATAATATTAATACAAATTGAAATATATAATATTAATATTTTAACAAGTAAAACATTTTACAAGTCAAAACATTACTTCATCTAAAAACATAGTCAATGGTGATACTAAAGTGTTGGATGAATTATTAATAAAAGTTTGACATGATTCTTTTAATGTCTGATCTACCAAGCGTCTTGAGTCTACAGAATTTTCTAACACAACTGGTGTTCCTTCTAGTAGAAATTCAATAATTGAATTACTAGAGTTTAATGCAAACATTTTATCATGTTTTTGAATTAATCCCCAGGCTAGAAAAAAAAAAGTAAAATAACAATAAATAAAATGTATACACCATGTTATATTAAATAATATTATAGTATTATACCAGCATTTTTCATCTTTCTAAAGTCCAGGTTTAATTCTTTAATAGTAAAATCTACTTGAAATGGTGCAATTTGTTCTCTAATTATTAATAAATGTTTTATTTCAAACAAAGAACCATCTGTTGGTGTCTGTAAACATTAAAATTATGTAAAATACCATTTTTTTGAGATTTAATTGTTTATGTGATACTGAAATGAATTATATGTTTTTCAAACTTATTATACATATACATATAAATTATGATGAAAAACGTAAATGTGGTTAATGAAGTAATTTCTATACAAATTGGTAAATGTTTGTACTTGTAGACATTTCCTGGTTAATGACATCAATTACTGGCTAATTTGGAAAATTATGAAAATTCAATCTAAATACAACAAAATGTCAGTATAAACAAAGTTCAAGGACACCCAGTGATAAAACTTCACTATGATAAAAATATCATAGATAGATAACCGAAAACCAAACAACTGTAATAATTGAAATTTACCAATTATAGTCTTTCACTGTAAAATATAAATTATAATGATGAAAACCAGGTGTATACTGGAACAAAAAATTCCTGGTGAGCCCTTAATTTATACATGTTTATACATGTGTCACCTGATAAAATTATAAAGCAAAAGAGGCCCATAAAAATAATATAGATAGGTAAACCAATTATTTGAAATACATTCAATAAATAGTTACTTTTTTTTGAGATATTATTAAAGCAGCTTGATGTATATTTTTTAAACATAATGCAACAGCTTCTTGGGAAAGACTTTGAAAAATTGTTTTATCAACACATCTATATAAGCGTGACAGACACATTAATGTACGCCTTACTGGTGGATACCACATTCCATGAAGATCTGCAGCAGAAGTCCATCCACCTTTAAGACAATTGACAATATAAATACATAACATAATTACAATACATAATATAAGTACAAACATTTACATCAATGTACCAGGTGATCTATTCAAATGGGTACACTCATTATCACGGAAAGTATTAACTTTTAGATTCTGAGTGTAACAAAGAATGTATTAGTTTTACTAAAATGTTTATTTTTTTTTTATCCTGTGTACAAAAATTCTTTCAGAAATATATATGAGCAGTACCATTTCTGAAAAGGAATGTAGTCCAGGTGGTACTTTAGGGACGTCATTTTTTGATTTTCCAAGTGGTTTTCATAATATCTGGGAAAAACTAGAATAAAATTTAAAAAAGACAGGAAATTTACAAAAATAATGCTTTTATTACTTTTCAATTTTGTTATATGTTATAATACAGTTAAAAATATTTGTAGAGACATACAATTTGGAAAGGAAACTTATATTCATCTTTTCTAAACGTGGTCAAAGTTTCAAAAAATTTAAGTCATTTTTGAGGTATTTATAGACATTTTATATTGAGAATTTTGTTCGTAATATTTATTCAGTAGGTACTCTGTGGTAAAATTGTTAGACTTGAATTGAAATACAATTTAACAGGCGGTTCATTAAAAGTCTTACTTTGTAATAAAAAAAAATAAAAAAATTGAGTTTAACGTAATATTTTTTTTTTATAAGGGAATTTTAAAATCAAATTTTGACGAAAATCATTAGAGTAAAAAATAATATGGAACAAATCAAATTTTTCAATTTTTTTTTCGAACATATGTATATTGCTAATTTAAGAACAATGGTGAAGTCAAAATTAAGCGGACTAACTAAGTTTCGAAATTATAGCTTTTTGTAGTTCTGATATTATGTGGATATTATATGTTATGTTAAATAACTCAATATTGTCCTCCTTAAAGCATATTTGTCATGATCTAACGGTTATTTATGCCTATTATCCGAGTTCAAACCAGTGTAACAAAAAAAAATTGTTTGCATTTTTTTCCTTTTTACCTAAACAGGGAAAAAATAAATGCATTTTGGATGTACCTAGAGACCCAAGCAATTGACCCTTCGGACTATTTTAATCGCAAAATACCCCTTGATTTGTTGTGCAAACTTTTCTACCAGGAATATCGCTCCGATTTAAAGTGATAGCACTTTTTTCTGAAAAGAAATCTGACTGGGAAGGTAATTCCTAGTTTTCCTAATAAATGGGAAAAATCGGGAAAAACTATGGGAAAATCAATACAATATTAAACAAATATTATTAAAAAAAATATATAATCCCTATTTAATTATTTTACCATAATATGGCATATATATTGTTGACATAGTATCACTATCAACTGAACTGTGCTCAGAATCTTTTTTTCGTTAGCAATGGTTTATCATTGCTTACAGATATACATTAAATAACTGTGGCTGCACCCGTCTCCATTATCCTGAAAAATTTAAGAAACAAGCAGCTCAAAAAGTAGTGGTGCATTATTAACCGCCAGGTACCGTACTGATGATACACAAATGATACTGTACTACTCTCCACCAACCTAAACTTAAAAGTGGAATATCTCGCCAACTGATTGACAGAAATCAAAATTTTTAAGACTAAAATTTATTTTAACTAACTCACCTTTGATTTATGGACTTTTTAGTATAGGTTTCCATTTGAAAATCAAAAGTGGGTAGCGGTTTTACCCCTAAAAATAAGGGTGACAAAAAATAACATAAATATTAAATAGTAAAACAGTTGGTTTCTTAAATGTTCTAGATACAAATTTCTGAAAAAGGTAATACATTCTGAGATAATGAGTGTACCCACTTAAATAGATCAGATGGAATTATGGAATTCAAATTCTTTGCTCAAGTAAATCATTATTATCAGTGATGTAGCCAGTAGATAGTAGAATAGATAATATCTCAAGCTCAAAAAAAAAAAAAAGACTTTGAAAACTACATTGTAAGTGTTTAAAAAATACACATAGTTAGTTAGTGGGAAAAAAAATGAAGTAATTAAATGCAGTTAACTGCACTATTAGATATAAAATGTATATATTTTATTATTTTATATCTTATTGAGTTATGGACAATTAACTTTAAGTGAATGATAGGAATGCAAAATTAAAAACTTTCAAACATTTTTTTTTCCTGGTTACACAACTGATTATTATAATACTATGATACTAATTTCATTTATTATAAATTTGTAGTAAAAGACGGACATACTTCACATGTTGGTGCAGCTACCATTGTAGGTGGGAAATTCGAATGTAGGATACAGATGGAAATTCAATTTATATTTGAACTAAATGATAAACCATTGCTAACGAAAAAAAACGATTCTGAGCGGAAAAAATGGCCTCCTTAAAAAACCCCCTCTCCCAGTCAAATTTCCTTTCAGAAAAAGTGCTATTGTTGTAAATTAAAGCAAGATTTTGTTTGTAGAAAAGTTTTCAACAGAACAAAAAAAAATAAACATCATTGTTAAACCATAAGCTTTTTCACTTCACTCAGAATCTAAATTAAAAATTGAAATTTAAACAAAACATTACATTATAATATAAGAACTGTCCATTAATATGCGTATATTATTAGTCAACTGAAATGTTATATAAGTTTTAAACAATATTATAGCATTATAAATAAAGATCAAATTTATATTGTTTTATAATTCTCAAAAAGAGACTATTTAAAACATTAAAAAAAACTTTGTAAAAAGCATTTAAAAACATATAAAAATGATAGAGGAGTTTAAAAGTCCCCCCATAACTTATTAAATTAAATTTCCTAAAAATACAAAATTGATTTAAATTAAATAATTTCTTTAAAATAAAATTACTTTTTATTAATCATTTTTGTGGTGTTAGAAAATTGTATGTATAAATTAAATCTGTTAGAGGGGGGGGGGCAATTAAACCCTTCTATTAGTTTTGCATTTTTATATATTTTTTAAAGGTTTTTTTGTGGATTTTAAAAACATATAATCCGATCTTTAATTATAAACAATAATTAAGGGTTAATAATTAATTATTGAAACCTTCTTAACTCGATCTATAATGACATAATTATATTTCTGCCAACTTATAAATATCACTATTAAGAGGTATTCACATCCATAAACAGGTATAATTAATTTAAAAAGTAAATTAAATACATATTAATGATTACATACCAACTGACTGTTTTGACATAACTGATGGAGCTTCAGAAACAGAAGAGACTAAACTTCCTGTAGAGTCATATCTAGTTAATTGTCGATACTGCATTTCTTCAGCAATTGCTTCCATTTGTTTTAATTTTTCCGGATAGGCTATATCACCAGGTGAGGGTTTGTATTCTGAAATATCGGTGAAAAAGTACAAATGTGCTCGAAATACTAAGCGTTCTTGAATATCTTGCAATAGCAATTCTGCTACAGAACCAAAAACTTCGAGTGATGCTAAAAATACATAAAAAAATGTTATTACATATAAAAATGTAGTAAATTTTTTTATTTTTTTATATTTACCATCTTCATAAACATAATCTTGCAATATTTCTATTCTTAAAATTGTACAAAGTTCTACTAATGTTTCAAAATGTTTCATGTGAATAACTAACGGTCTCAGCATATCATATAAATGCATACAAACAGCTTCCAAATATTCTCTTTAAAAACAAATAATATAAATTTAAAAACCAATTTAAAACGTATTTATTGTAAGTTTATATATATGAATTTTTATTATACCTGAACACTGAACATTTAATTGTAAAGAAACATTGATATAATCGATTTTCATCATGTGTCAATTGTATAAGTATTTTACATGATGAACGTAATGTGGAACAATAATCACTACCACTCGAAGTATAATTGGATAACATACTAGTAATAGATGTACCAAGAAGAACTTTCCGTCGTGTCACATATGCCAACACACAATCATCTAATGATGCAGAATATCTAGAAAAAGAAATATTAATGAGAATAAGATGTAAATAAAAATGTAGTTCAATTGTACATACACTGGATCCAAATCCATTCTGTTTTCTATTAATTCTAACACTGGCCGAATTTTTTTTGCAATTGCTTGAAATTTTCCATAGTGCGCTATAAATTCTGTAGAGTCTAAACTTTCTGTTCCTGTTTGAAGACACTGGGAAATATAAGTTTGTACAAGTGATAAAGCTTTGTACCTAGCATTTACATATAGAGCCAGGTATCTATTGCTTTCTCTATAAGATGTCTATAAAAATATACATTTTATATTAATTTTAACCATAAGTGGTTATAAATTATACACACATGAGTATTTAAATATTGTATTCCATTATCAATGGACGTCATCATGTTGGCAAACATTTCACTAGTAACAATGAATGATGGAGAATCCAGTTTTAATTGTATAGAGTTGACAGCATTGAAGATGGATAAACGTTCATTTATTTCAGAACATATTTTACTTAGAGACGTCTAAAAAATTATTCTTTTAAATGATTTTGATAAAATAAAAATATATAAGTTTTCTTTAACCTGGTCAGTATGTAATTCTTCTCCAGCTAAATATAAAGAGTTTGTTTTCTTTGAAACTTCACTATATTTTTCTTCCAGGGTATCAATAAGCTGCATACACTCATTCATCTAGAATTAATTGATATTAATTTTCTCTAAGATAAGTAATTGAGTACTGTAATTAATTATACTTTAGATATCATTGTATTCCATTCATCCAATTGATTTCTAAGTTCATTAGCTAGCTGAATACATGGTTTAATTTCAGCAGACATCCATTTTTGTGCAATATCATTGTAGAATTTATAAAACTAAAAATCAATATAAAACATTAATTTAATTAATATTATAAAATATTATACAATTCATATACATATATACTGAATTAATTAATATTTTCAAGATAAAATTAGTTTTGATACCATTAATATACTATGGTTCAACAGTTTTTTAAACTTTATATTTAACTAATTTAATGTAATTAATTTAAGTATTAAAATACGAATTTTATAACTAATGTAAAATGCCATTAAAAGTATAAAAAAAAAAATTTATATTTATTTACTAACGTCTTCAGCAGTTTCAATATTTTCCTTTAATATTTGAGGCTCTTCTTTTTCATCTAACTTTTCTTCATTACTGTCATTAATATCTGAAGACTGAACACAAAGCATAATCAAATAGACAACCAAATTAAAGACAATAATATTTATGAAAAAACTTACTATAAAGTCAGTATTTCCTAAGTACTCTGATAAACTTAAATAAGCATTAATTTGTGATGAACATAGAGGTGCTAGTGGATTTTTTTCGGCTTCCCATTGAATTAATTTATCAGAAATTCGTACGGTCTTATTTGACATATTACTTACTTAATTAAGTCTTATTTCTGCATACCAATTATTAAAATATTTATAATAATTAAAAAGTTATTAATTACTACATTAAATTACCTCCTTAAACTTAAGTTTTCATAAGTTTAAAAAAAATGTGGACGTAAACAATTGTTAACATAAATTTTATCAATATGATTACAAATGATAACATCACGGATTCCGGTCACGATTTAGATTAATCAATCCATTTGTTATTACCACGGTCATTGCATAGAACCACAGCAAATAGCCATACTGCGTAGAACATAAACAAGGTGTACCGATCAATTTATACTCCTTGAATAAATGTTCTGTGGGAAAGGACTATTAAAATTATTAATCGTTAAAATTATCTAATAGATAATTAATGTGAAATATAATTTGTGTAACTTAAAATTTTTGGCTGGCGCCTGGCGGCTTACTAACGTCGAGATTGCTTGTTAATTTATAAAAAATTAATAAATAATCAATATTGTACGTATATTGATCATACATCTTTAAAGAAAATAATTTCAAGAATCAATTTGAATTAACACGGTAATTTATTTTTCTGTTTTCAGTAAGTCACAAAACGAAAATTGTACAAACATTTTTATACAATTAACTTTATTTATTAATATTTATCAAAGATATTTGACTTTTGTACTTGCATATTACCTACTTGAAATGTTTTAAATAGGTAGAATTTATCTAATTGGCATTCGAAATGTTTTCTAACACATCGTTTTTCACTGATGGAAAAAAAGAAAAAAATCAGAAATCAGAATTCCAAGTAGACCTTGCTTATAAAGAAGAGGTTGAATCCAAACTTAATAAATTTAATGAGATAATATTCAATTCACATGATGGCGCTAGTCAGTCAACAAGTCAACATGATATTATTAATGCTCTTGAATCGATATCTATCAATTCTATCACTGATACTTATGTTAATGATGTTGGTTCAGTTGATCATTTTGATGAATCTAAAAGTGAAATTAGTTCTATTGAAGAAAATGCACAAACATTGCAAGATGGAGATTTAAATAAAAAGGAAATCACTAATCAAATTTTTAAATTACAATGTTTGTATACATGGAACTTAAAATCAAATAATAAACAAAATATAATTCTGATGATACAAGATAAATATGGTGAATATAACATGAATATTTCCTCACCTGAATTTACATTTGAAAGGTAAATCATTTTTAATTAATAATTTTAATGTAGGTAAATTTTTAACTTATAAATTTGGCAGTGGTCTTGTAAGTGACATACAATCATTTTCATTTTAAACTTTTGCTCACTTGTCTTGTAAGCTAAACAAAAAAAAATGTTTGTTAATTATTGAAAGAAATTGTATTAACTATTTATGAAAATAATGTTACACAAAAAATTATTACAAAAATTCACATAAATTAAATATATTATTACTATTAGATATTACTCACAAAAGGTTACTTCCACCTCATTAAGAAACTCTTAAAAAATTTAATCTTTTGATGGATGCACAAATCTGCATCATTCTTGTAACAATCTTTGAAAAAAAGTAAAAATTCTATTTACTCATATACAACAATTTAGTATTATATAATGCCATATACGTGTGATATTTTAACTGACAATAGAATGATAATGTCATTTTGCAATATAACTGATAAATTATAAAGTAATATATTAGTAATAATTAAAGCCCGGATGTATTTGCATATGCAACTTCTACTGATCCAATAAATTGCTAAGTAAGTTTTAAATGTGTTGTGTATAAGTAGGAATTAAAATTTTAAATTTTAAAGCACAATTTTTTGGAATTTCCATAATTTTTTTTGAATTTAATTATTGAATGTTATTTGTCGAAATGATAGTTTAATTATTTTTAGAATCGCATCTGTTCTACTGGAATTATCAGATTTCTCGTATTTACAATGCATATAGATAAGATCTATTTAACACAAAGATAATTTATAAAACATGATCATTTGACAGTCTGTACATTTTGTGTAGTCTCTAGTTCTTTTATTATTTTGTAAATATGCTGAAAATTAAGCCAAATTTTTTGTTTTTGAAGAAAAAAAAATTTGTGTACAATTTTTAATTTTTTAACTGCAATTATCGGTATTTTTTAGTGCAATACTACAATCAATTTTACTATGTTTTTACTGTTACAACATCTGTGCCCTAGTAATAATATATTACTTTTTATTGTGTGTTAAATTTAGATAAGTATATTGTATATTGCTTACGAGACCAGTGAACTGCATGTAGATTGCTTATGAGCATAAATTGTACAATAATTTACTTAATTTGTTGTATTTTGAAATAATTAATTTTGATTTTTATGACTAGGTTTATAAGTAATTTAATTATTGCCTATGAATTGTTTCATAAGGGTGAAACTGAACTTGGCCAAATGAAAATATTAGACATTGGAAAATGGCTTGAGGAATTAGATAATCTTAAAGTTGATGAGTTTTATTTATCTATTAATGTTGGCCTTAAACATGTCATGACAGGTACTTTTATTCATATGTTATTTGCTACAAATCTAACAGAAGAATGTACCTGGGTAAGCTATAATTAATTGTACTCATTTATATTTTATGTATTTAGTATTCTTAATTTTATAAAGTGATAATTTATATAAATTAGTTTTTTTTTTATTACCAAGTGCAACTTATGACGAATCTCTTGTTAAATTTTCAAGCATTTCTGTTTGGTCAAATGACTAAATATAATACCATCAAAGAAAAACTAGAAAATATAAAATGCTTATAAATATAAGCTTTCCGTGAACTTACCCGATTTTTCTTGATTTTACTAAATTATTAAAAAAATTACATAGAAAATCAAAAATCAACACACTTATTCATCAACTAGATCCAATGTGCTTCAAAAAAGTGTCTCAGTTTTTTAATTGAAACAAGATTTCTGATAGAAAACATAATTTGTACAAATTTAAAATATTGAAATTGTATCATTAATTTGTCAGTTTCAATTTACTTTTTTGTTTATTATTAATACTACTTGGATAATCAAAAAATGATCTGTTTAACGCACCAACTCGATCCAAAATGCGACAAAAAAAGATTCTTGTTACTTTTTGATTGGAGCAGTATTTTTAGTCAAAAATTTGTAAGCAGACAGAAAAAAAAAATCACATAGAAAAATCAATTATCCCTTCACTAAGATTAGGATTTAAAATATATATATACCGACATAAGTTTTATGCTAAAAATTAAAATTCTGAGGTATTTTTAATGGTTTTCGATATTATAATTGACAAATAGCTATTTAATATAAAAATGCCAAATAAATACTTAAGAATAATACTTAAGGTAGATATTGCACTAAATGGTTAGCCATGTGTAGATGTGTAGGTATTATATGACACTAATGCTGATAAGCATTATAATAAATATAATTATTTTTACTTTTTTAGCTACTTAAAAATGTTGTTTCATTTGCCAATATGGAATCTAAATCAAGAGCAGCTGTATATGCAGTACGTGCATCTGTGCTAATTGAATATAGTAGAAATTCTGCATGTCTAAAAAAGGCTTCAGGCTATGCAAAAAAAGCGTGTGATTTAGATCCAAACACTTCCTATTGGTTTTATCTTTATTCACTTTCACTGACTGCTCTCAGGCAATTTGTACATACTGTTAAATCAAACCCAACTGAAAATGAAAAAAATTCAATTCAGCAAGCAATTGCATTGTCTGATGGGAAAATTACTCACTATAATTACCATAGAATGACATTAGATAGAGATACTGTTATTCGTTATTTTCATGATAACAAAGATAAAAAGGACAAATTTGTGCATAAAAAAAATATCCAAGACAACCAAACTCTTGTTCATATGATCAAGTATGTAAAATTTGTTAAAAATAATAATTATATGAGAGCTAATCAAAAAGTATTGAGACTGGTAGTATCACTCAATAACCAAGCATTGAAGAGCATTGGGATTGGTATCACTTTTATGACATTTTTTGAGAACATTTATTTCTATTGTTTCTTGATAACTTCTTCGGTTTGATTTTACCAAAATGTCTGTAAAATATGTTTTTTCGAATTTATCGATTTTGTAATGAATCCAAAAGAGAGCAACTTGACAGTTTTGGAGATCTCAAATAATTTGTCTGCATTTTTTTTTAGTTCCAGAGAGATACAACATTTCATGGTTCATGCCAAAAAATTTTAATTGAAAAACTACAAATGCGTCGCTGAGTGGCAGCAAGTTTCTCTTCTTTTGAATTCATTACAAAATCGCCAAACATGAAAAACATATTTTAGAAAAATATCCTTGAATCCAAAGGAAGAGTTTATAGAAATTCTACAAAAGTATATGTGCTCAGAAAGTCATATAAGCCAGGCTTATCAATTTTTTCACTCTTTAATATTCGGTTCCTAGTAATATTATCAGTTTTGATACTTTTTAATTAGCCCTCATATTATATGTAATTTAGTTAATTTTAGTTTTATTCAATATACATTTTTTTATTAGAACAGTATATTAAAATACATTTTTGTAGAATTTTCCTAGAAAATAGATACTGTAGCACTGTATTGCACAAAGTATTATGTTGTGTTATATAATATGTTATACATACACTATACAGGGTAATTTTTTTTAAGCATGCTCACCCTATTTTTATGGTTACATTTTGCATAAATTCAAACTCAAATTTTCAGAACTTTTAAGTGTAGTGAAAGGTGATATTCGCATTGGAGATTGTTGCTTTAAGTTTTTGCACTCGTGCAGATCCTCCCCCCCCCCCTTAATAAAGCCAAAGAGTTTCTATTTTGTTTATGCATGATGTAATTATCGAGGATGTGCTTTTGGAAGGTTTAAAGTTTCAACTTTCAGTCCCCTCCAACCATTTTTATGCTCAAATTTCATGTTTTCTTCATACAAATAATTATAATGATAATTGTTCATAGGTTTAAATACCCTTCTGAACTAAAATGTAAAAAAACTTTAACAAACATGCCTAATTTTGATCAACCATTCAAAATTTAAAAAAATTAAATATTATAAATGGTAATTTGGCTGGCATAAATTCAACTCTATAGATGAGAACTCTGGTGACTGGTGTTCTTTTAATTTTATTTACAACAATATTTTATGAAATAAGAATTATATAAAACATTATTTATCTTCAAAATCCTTATTTAAATTTTTTTTAAAGATATTATAAATTGCTTATAGTAACTATGAAATTAAAATATCTATATATTTTTGTACAAAAGGAGAATCTCTACACTTAATTATAATGCAAATTAATTATAATTTTAGGACTATAATTAGTATGGAGCCAAAAGACCCTCTTTTAATAGTCAAATGTGCTAAAACTATAATGACTCTCCCAGTTATGGTGCGTGATTTTAATTTGGGAAAACAATATTTGACAATAGCTTTGGAAATGGCACCAAATGATAGAGCTGTTTTTAAAGCCATTGAAAGAACGATTAAACAATATCAACAAATAGTAAGACATTTTTTATAATACTTAACATTTAAGTTTATTAATAGTTTGCGTTTATTTAAAAATGTTAGTCTAATAAAAACACAGCGTTTGAAAAGGAAAGCCAAACACAATCAAATAGTAAAATAAAAAAATTAGAAGATGAGTTAAGAATTTTAGTAAAAAAACATAATAAAGGTGAAAATGTTGTTGCCCATCTAACTGGAATGACTGAAAAGTATGTTGGATTGGATCAGTGCAAACTTATAGCTCAGTTTTGTTCTTATAATATACTATTCGCAAATAACTTAAAAAATGGTGTTGAACAATTTATTTGGTTAACTAATCAACCAGGAATGGTTAATAGTTATTTAATTAAGGTATGTATTTTTATCCTAAAAATATAATAAATTTATATTTTCATTAAAAAGTTGAACTTTGAACTAAAAATCTTTATTTTTGGTTCAAAAATGATCACATGTGCTTGTTTTTAGTTAATAATTATTAATTCATTGTTATCATTTTTTATTGGTTTATTGTTGTTTAATTTATCTAAATTTGTTAAATAATCATTTTATTCAACAATAAAATTATTACTAATAAAATATTAAGTATTATTCATACAAACCACATTCAATTGTATGTTTAATTGTATTAATTTTCATACATTTTTATTGTATTTTGTTTCAGGAACATTTTTCATCTTTTGGCACAAAGAAATTTAATTTAGCTGAGCTTATTTGTAATGAAATTAGATTAGCTACAAATGCAAGTACCACTTCATCTGAGGATTTGTTATTTTACTATAAAATGCTAACTAAGATCATGGAGACGTGTAATATAAAAATAAAAAATATAGATCCATCCATGAAAACCAAATTAATCGTTAACTTACATAATAAAGCAGCTACAAGTACTTATGAAACACAACAAAGTAATTTCGATTTTTCAGCTAATAAGAGTGTCTATGAAAGTGAAAACATTAAAAAATCAATAAACAGTACAAAGCCACGTAAAACTACTCAATCAAATTGTAAAAATGGTAACCGGAACAAAAGATCAAAAAAGAAAAATGAAGAAAAAATCCCTACCAATTCGGATGCTACGGCAAATGTTAAAAATAAAACTCATTGGATAAATTCAAATGATGAAATGAAATTTAAAATCGAAAAGTTTTTTAAAACTGTTGAAGCTAGACCTGGAATTTCTAACAACTCTAATCATATTCCTCCTTTGATTCCAGATAACTTAAGAAATATAACAACACAATCAGAAATAAATCAGTATACTCAACAACTATATGAATACATTTTAAATAGAAAACAAAATTAGAATATTCTGTATATTAACAGATTTGTAAGCCAAACTTTATTACTAAATTAAGAGGCACAAAAAAATCAACAAAAAAAAAAAAAAAAGTGACTTGTTTATTTATATTCATTATTTGATTACTTTACTTTGAAAATATGTTATATTAATAATTTTATCTACAAAGTAAAAATCTTACTCAATCTTTATCAATCCATTTTATTTTATAATAATGTTATAATAAATATAAATGCCTTTAGTTTTATATAAGTTTATTATAAAATTATATATTTTTTAATACAACTTAATTTAAATTTAGTTCTTTTCAATATGCACTGTGGGACATCCAAATGTGTATGGTGTATCAAAATAAAGTACCATTTAAGGCATATGGTACATAAATATCATGTGTAATATAATTTCTCTTCTCATTTTATAAAGATATTAATGTTCTGTTAGGGTACGGAGAGAGTTGGATATAAAATTATTAGTTGACATTTAGTTTTTAGAAGGCTTGAATATCAAATGTATATCAAGGAGAGATATAATAAGATTTATGGTTGATTAGAATTTGTAAACAAAATTAAGAAGTGAGATAATGCTCTGTGATTTTGACAGAATTGAATAGGTATATAGCTGAAAAAGTATAAAATAAGAATGGTCACCAGACCTATTACCAATGGATATGGACTGCATTATATTCTGTACATTTTTGTACCAACTCCCTGTCCTAGTAGAAATAATTAGAGATGATGCTAAAAATAAAAATATTAGAGAAGTTGTGTCCCTTTGTTCCCTTTCAATTTAAGTATTGATGACACTTTGAAGAAAACCAACACAGTTATGCAAATATAACGTTTAGTCTTAGATTGTATAGAAACTTATTTAATTAATTAACTTACAAACTAATTTTAACTACTTAGTTTACTATTGAAAGTAAATATAATATATTTTTTATATTATTTATTTAGATATATACCTAGGTATTTTATTATTCTAACTTTGGTGCATAAATATTTTTTTCATGTACAGCATATATTCTAACTAATATTTATTTATTGTATCACCCGTCCTTTGGGTTCCAATGCCATCTCTGTAATGGAGATCAATTACCTCCTTCCTTCGATATTTTCGTGTTTTATATGTACTTGTATAAGGTAGGTACTGTTATTAAAATTATATGACTTAGAAAATGTTTGACAATTTGACACAAGGTATCTACATTTTAAGTTGAACTTAGTGGTCTAAAAACAATTTGAGTTTAATGCATTAGTTTTTTTTCATGAGAGTATTAAGACAAAATGTTAAAGAAAATCATAAAAATGATGGCATTTCAAAATATGTCTCACCAAACTAGACTCCGAATTGTTTTCTGTTAGCAATGAATTATCGTTGTGTACTGATATAACTTATATAACTATTATTTTTACCTTAACTGGCTGCACCCGTCCCCAGTATCAGCTCTTTTATTTTATTCTATGAACATTTACTAAGAATCTTACTGTGATTTTCAAGTGTAACGCCTATTATGAAAGAACATTTTATCTGGGTAGTATTTTGATTCTCCAAGGGGTTGTCATATTAAAAGGGAAAATAAACAAAATTTATTATTCATTTGTTGCGGTTCAGTTAGACGTATTCATAGATTCTCGAAATTTGGATAGAAAACCTATATATTTACCTTATTTAAACGTGGTAAAATGTTTAAAACATAGCCATTTTTGAGCTATTTATAGACATTTTAATTTTGCTAGTTTTTTTATGTAAATTTTTATTCGTTAAGTACTCTAGTGGATAAAATTGTTTGGCTAAACAGAAATGCTTCAAAATTTAACAGGAGGTTCATTATATTTTAGTTATAAAAAAACGAGTGAAATGTAAAATTTTTTCATAAGGATTTTAATATCAAATTTTAACGAAAATCGTAAATATTACGGCCTTTTAAAACATGTATGATCGAATTCCGGATATATCTAGGGTATTCCCTAACCTAACTGCATTACGGGATAACATCGGTAAATTCTACAGAATGGATATTTTAAAGTTTTCCAAAAATAATAAAATAAAGTTTTTTTAAATTTGTTTAATAAAAAAAAAAAAAAAACAGAATTTGATTATCTCTGGAGATATTTAAGGGGTATGTCTTCTTAGGACAGCCTGTATATGTCGTATTATGGTGAAATAATTACATTTGCATTAAACATTTTCTTTGATAATATTTGTTTAATATTATACCTATTTTCCCGATTTTTCCCATTTATTGAGAAAACTAATGAGAAAATCAAAAAACGACATTCTTAAAGTACCACGTCAGTTGGATTTCCTTTCAGAAAAAGTAGTATTATTGTAAATCGGAGCAAAGTTGCTAAAATAAAAATTGTTCACAGGAAAAGAAAAAGCCATAATATTTTACTATAAATTTGTACAATTTTCTGTTTTCCTTTACCGATTTTTCGAATATATTGAGAAAATGAAAAAAATGAACTTTCTAGAGTACCACCCTAGACGGATTTCCTTACAGAAGAAGTGCTACATTTGTAAATCTGAGCAATATATCTGGTAGAAAATATATAATGCATATGTAATTATTTTACCTTAATGTGACATATTGTTCACAAAGCAACATTATTAACCGAACTCCGCTTAGAATCGTTTTCATTAGCAATGGTTAATCTTTCTGTACAGCTGTACATTTCACTTCCCCTCTACCTTCCCAATTTCTCACCTAAAATGCCCCATTCAGTACTCAGGTGAGTCTAAGGAGCTGAAGCTCCCCCCCTATTCACCACATTTGACGTATTTTTTATATTTTTCAAGTTTCAACTGTAATGATAATTAGCAATTAAGGACATGTTTTCATCAAATATACCATTTTCGTAAGTACACATTTAAATTTATCACTGTTATCTATTAATAACATTATATCACTATATTATGACAGAATAATTTATTATTAGAATAAAAAAAGATCGAATTCGTTTTTAGTTTTTATTATTTGAAGGAAAAAAAAGAGAAGTAATGCAATCAACCATTCATTAAATTTTAATTTTGATTTATATTTAGTTTTTTAATAATTTACTAGCTTAAAAATTATGTTTTACTGACCAACATTTTTATAGTTATCTAAATATTAAATATTTTTTTTTTTCATATTTTATGTTTATTATTAGTCAGAACTAAGAATGCACCTACTGTCCTACTTTATTTTTCAAACTTGTCACAAAAGAACTGATTAACTATCAATAGGGCTGTTAATTTAATGTAGTGAAAAACCTTATAAATGTACCAAACATGCATGAAAAATGTCAAAAAATGCAATAAAATATACATTTAAATTCTCAAAAAATGCAATATAAAATGGTTTTTAATTTAATTTATATATTTATTTTGATGTTACTGAAATCGATAAATCGCAAGCTCACAAATAACTAATCTAAGCAATATTGCCTTATTTTGTCGAATCTTTATCTTTACCTAATCCGTATACAGTTTGTGCAAAATATTTTATACAATTTAAATTTGACGTGTATGTTTACAGCCTGTGTAAAACAAAAAATTTGTGTACAGAGATGTTAATTAATGGAATTTGATTAAAAATACCGGAAAATGAAAAATGAACTGAAAGGAAAAAATGACTTTAAAAGTCCAAAAAATTACCTTAAAAATTAAAAACGTCAAAAAATGTAAAGTAAAGGTTTCATAAATAAATTTGTTGTTACATAATTCTAATTTTATATTTAGAAATAAGCTACGTTTCACAGTGAGCTCAAAAAAATGAACTTTCCTTCAAATTTACAGCCCTAATTATTAATTTTCAAGTCCCCCCCCCTTTGAAAAAACCTGCGTACGCCACTGCCACCATCTACATATGAAGTATGTATTTTACTGTGTACAGTACAGACAGTACAGTACAGACCAAAACCCAAAACCATATAGTTTTTTTACAGGTGAATTGAAGTAATGAAATTTTAGTTGAATTTCAATTTGAACTTCAGTATATTATTGTGGGAGGAGGTATATTTTTTAATTTTGTATATCGTTAATAACTCTTAAAATGAAGCCAGAGGATAATATTTTGTATTTGCATGGTGTATGTATTAAGAATGTGCCTTTTGATGGTTTTAATTTTGAAACCTTCTCAACCATTTTTATGCTTAGATTTCATGTTTTCACAGATAATAAAAGGTTTTAATACCCTTAAAAATTTATAAATTTAGATGCTTGTTTTTAGATTTTTAAAAATCCAGTTTTGTATGTAGGAATGTAAGACATAGGTAGTATTGTCGACTGTTTTAGTTATAAATTATATTAAAACGAATCCCAATGTCCACTACAACAATGAATGCTTACTTATGGTACAATAATTTTATGATATAAATGATCGTGCGTTTAACAACTATCTTGCGAGTTTCAGTTCCCTTTCTCATTTTGGAGAATTTTAGTTTACTCCATTCGTTAATGTACACCATCCATAATAGTCACTTACCCGCGGTGTGAATTATATTAAAAAATATTATTTCATGAGTTTTTCAAATATTTTGCCACTTTAAGCTCATTAATTCCATTGGGAAGTATTTAAATTAATAGGTACCTTTCGTAAAGGCTCGCCCACAACAGTAGTCTACCCTTGGAGTGAATATGTCGAAAATTGAACTTATTTTATTGAGGTTTACACATTTCCTGTGAGTTACAGCTCCCTTATTCTTATATCTTATATCTTATACCTTATATCTTATTTTGGAGTACCTTAATTTATACCTCTCACGAATACTCGCTCACAACAGTGACCTACCTATGGTGCGAAGTTTATTGAACATTTATTTTCTTAAGGTTTTATGTGAGTTCTAGCTTGCTATCTATTCGAGGAGTATTTTAATTAATAAATTTCCCAAATTCACACTTATTATCTATTTAGGTTGTTTAGAAGGTATAATATTATACAGGTTTGTTCATAAGCACTCTCCGTCAGCCGTACATCAAGCAAGGCCACTCACGACCCAGTGACAGCCCACACTATACCTATGTACAGAAATATACGTGATGATGAGATAGGTTCACTTAAAAATCTATATACCAACTATATTATACATTTAAATCTGACCAAATAATAACTTAATGATTCACGTGGAAATATAATATTATTGAATATATAATTAACATTATTCTATTTTAGATGATGATTCACCATGTAACAGAAAAATTGTATAATGAAATTATTTCTGAAAATTCAAATACCTATCTACTTAACCTGATTTAAGCTATATCTATAGTTTGTTACGTAGGTATCTAAAAAGAAAGGTAAGATAATGGGGACGGGTGCAACCATTGGTGTAGGTGGGGGGGTTGGGAAGGTAGGATACAGACGGAAATTTAATGTATATCTGTCAGCAACGATAAACCATTGCTTACGAAAAAATGATTCTGAGCGGAGTTCAGTTAATAATAATTCTTTGTCAACAATGTATATGCCATATTTAAAGTAAAATAATTAAATAGGTTCTATATATTTTCTTTTATAATATTTGTTTAATGTTATACCGATTTTCCCTGTTTTCCCAGGTTTTCCCGGTTTTCCCATATTTTATCCCGGTTTTTCTTATTTTCTGGAAAAATGATTTGAGACAATCGAAAAATGATCTCATTAAAGTATCTCCCCAAGCCGATTTCCTTTTAGAAAAAGTGCTACACGTAGAAATCCGAGCAAGTCTTCTGGTAGAAAAGTTGTGCACAGATAAAAAAAAAAAAACATCTTTGTAAAACTATAAACTTTTTTGCTCCACTCAGAATCTAAAATGGGAAAATGTAAGAAATGTGGGTATTATTAAAAAATATTACGGCCTTTTTTTTTTTCTGTGGACTTCTTTTCTACCAGAAATTTTACTCCAAATATTAATGATGGCAATTTTTCTGAAAGAAAATTTCACTGGGAAGTCCTTTACAGAGGTCATTTTTCGATTTCCCAAAAGTTTTCTCAACAAATGTAAAAAATCGAAAAAATTACGGGAAAATGTAAGAAATATTGGTATTAGCTAATAATATTATGTCCTTCTTTTTACCTATGAACAATTTTGACAACTTGTTTTTTAGTTCCCTAGATTTTACTGTTTTTATGATTATTTTTCATGTTAATCAAAGCAGATATCAATAAAATCGGAAAAATAATTATTTTGGTAAATGTAACATTTAAAAAACGTCCTAAGATAATGGAAACGGGTACAGCCACTGCTATAAGTAATTTAATGTATATCTGTAAGCAACGATAAACCATTGCTAACGAAAAAACATAGCTATGAGCGGAGTTCAATTGATAGTGATGCTTTGTCAACAAAATATACGTCATATTATGGTAAAATAATTAAATAATTAAATAATTAAATAGACATTATATATGTTCTGTAATATGATATTCATTTAATATTGTACCATTTATTGGGAAAACTTCTAGAAAAATTGAAAAATTATCTCCCTAAAGTACCTTTCCAGTCAGATTTCCTTTCAGAAAACGTGATATCAGTTTTAGTTGGAGCAAAATTGCTGGTAGAATAGTTGTACACAAAAAGAAAAGGCCATTATATTTTTTTACTAATGCCTACATTTTGTACATTTTCCGTTTTTTCGACATTGTATCCCGGTTATTCCCAGATATTACGAAAACCGTTTGAAAAATTAAAAAAAAAACCTTTTTAAATTACCATGGAGATAAAATTTCCTTTCAGAAAATAAGCTACAATTGATAGATCGGAGCAAAATTTTTGAAAGAAAAGTTTGCACAACAAATCGAGGAGTATTTTTCGATTAAAATCGAGCGAGCGATAGCGGGTCTCTAGGTACACTTAAAGTGCATTTATTTTTTCTCTGTTTAAGTAAAACTGCAAAAAAAAGTGCAAACAAAATTTTTTGAAACAAGGGTTTGAACTCGCCACTTCAATAAATATGTATAACCATTCGTCTATGACAAACATATTAAAAAGTATATAATATAGAATTATTTAACGTAACATTTAATATCCGTATAATATCAAAACTGTAATAAGCTATAATTTCGAAATTTAGTCCGCTCAATTATGAATTCACCATCGTTTTTAAATCGACTGAAATATATTAATATGTAAATCGATTTATTATGAACTGAGTATTAATTCTGAGTAAACGCAGAAGATATTAGTTTTATAAAAGATATATTCTTTTTTCTCGAAAAACACAGTTGGTAAAAAATGTTATTATTTTTTCAAGTCAGTTTTTACATTTTTAATACTTTTTATGTTTTTTTCAGAATACTTTTTTAGTTAGGTAAATGTTTCAGTGATTCTTACACAGTAGGTACCACAAAAGATGAAAAATTTCTTAGTGGCGTTCTCAAGAATTTCTGTTAGGGGGGGATATACAAATTATTTTCAAAGTGAGTAGTGGGGGTTACGCCCCTACACACCCATAATAATAATGAAATAAGTAGGTATACATTGAATTTCAATTCCAATGTTTAATATTTTTCAACAAAATGCATTTTAAACAAATAAGATTATTATTTTACTTATTAAAATCTATTTTTTTTGACATTTGTGTCGTGGTATCAAAGACTTCATTAGGATAAACATTTATTTCTTTATAAAGTGCTAGTAATGTTAATCTATTGAGAAAATTGTATAAATTTCATAAAATTAAGAAAAATGCAAAGAGCATATTGAGCTCAAAGATCAATGATTTTCAGTATTTCCATACATAAATCTAACACGATAATTCAAAATAATAGATACTTACTATCACAAAATATGTATTTATTAGACCTTTCAAATTTGGCATTAAACAATAAAAAATTCGTTTGCCTCAATTAGTTAATTAAGGTCTCTACATTTCATTCCACGATTACTAGCCATCACTTATCTAATATTCTGACCTATAAGTTATTTCATAAATGTTATATCGTTATTATGTCTGTGGGTTATCTGTAGGTAATATCCAATTCAATCGTATTACAGAAAAATGATAGTGTTACCTATTAGGAATATTATATTATTATGCATATAGTGATATGACTATAATTCAAACGTTTTAATTTTGAATTGTTATACCTATAAGATAATTTGTGAAATGATAATTCAAAATAATTTCTTTTGTAACAATTATTTCGTTCTTGTGATTTTAAACAAATTAAAATAAACCTAGTTGTTTCGTGTTTTATTTTTTTATTAAGCAGTTTCAATTAATTATTTTTCAATAAAAGTTGTCATTGGGTATCAATTATTTCATAAATCAATTTTGTTATTATTAAAAAGGCGGCAAATCGTTCATTTTAAATTAGCCAATGGTATTGGCTTTGTACGTTTTGGTAATATGTAATATGTCTACCGCTGTGGAACAAAAAATGATAAGAGTAATGTCAGTTTGTGAAATAACAATACCACGTTCAATACATGTTATTTATCGCTAAAATAAAATATACTATCTATCCGTTTCAATCACCCCCTCCATGTGAATACGCCTATGGAATTTTTATCTGGTGATACTTTTGAGACATTTACCGATATTTAGAGTAATTTACCCATTAGGATATATTTTTTTTTTTAAATTGATAAATGGTTACCTATCTTAGAAGAAATGGAAAACAACGACTAATGTACTAGTCCGTTCAAAATCGTTTCCAATGATTTATCTTTGTATATACTACACACAGTAGTTTTTAAAACTATATTACTCTGTATATCCTACCTTCTCAACTGTTTTATCTACAATAATGGCCTACTCATGGGTACTTGATGGGTATATAGATACTTGCTCATGAGCAAGTATCGATAACTATTCAATATTTAAATTCATCAACACACGTTTAACCGAGCTTTTTTTACATTCCCAACGATTTTTAGCGTTACGTTTATGGAATTATAACATAGTACCCCATAGGCCATATTATATCATCCTTTCAACTTTTCACTTACAATATTAACAGGTACCTACATTATATTATTTCAATGGAATTACGGACGTGCGTTTGAAAAAAGATATATATATATATATATATATATGAAGAGTATGACAATATTATTATTCAAAAATATTATACGTGTAGGTATAGGTACCTAGGCATATAATGGCGTATAATTATTAGGCTCATAATGCATTCGTATTGGCTACGATTAATAAAGTTTAAATGATACCTATATAATGTGTCACAATTAAAATAACAAGCGTATAGAACTGAAAATGGAATTATTTTGTGACAAGTCGTCCTGGTAGATATAAACAGTTGAAAACACGATGAAATGATACCTATAGGCTATATTAGTTGGTAGTAGTGTAGCACTATATAGTAATCGTGCATCATTAATGTCTAGGTACCGTGGAGATTATTAAATAATAACGCTCCCGTCCTCCGTACGACATTATGGAAGTATGACTGTACGTCTGTACCGCGTATGAGTGTGCGAGTACCATGACTAATATTTTGTGAATTGTGAATTATATTACACAGTGATAGTGTGTGCTCGCTGCTAGTATCAGTGCGTATACGGTGTTGCAGTCTGGTCGCGGAGAACATTTGTGATAACCAGATCGATCGCCGCCGTTCGACAATATCATTTTAATCTTCGGTCGGAAACACAATCAAATCGATCGCGATGCCAGTGTCGTTTCAAATGACGTTGTGAATCTGTTTACACCACCGCGATCGTAAGAAAAAATATAAAATAAACCACGAAACAAACGCGGCGCGGGCTAAAACCGTAGACATTTTATCGCCTTTTGTGCACACGGGAAATACGCGGACGTAACCTTGGCGCCACTGTAGCGGTTCTAACTCTCACACACACATGATAAACAGGGCGTGTGTGCGTAAATGTGAATGCGATTGTTGTGCGAGTGTGCGTAATCATCGTTTCATTGTGCGCCGTAGTAAGTCATGTATATTGTATGTGTTTTCAATAATAGCGAAAAAAAGATTTACTGATTTTTTCCTATCCGTGTTTTTGTTACTTAGTTTTGATTTTTTTTTTTCGTTCTACACCGTTTCTAGTGATCCGTTTTTTTTTTTATTTTCCATAGGAAACACAGTGTTTGTTATTTTAGGTAGCCGAAATATGTCAAATATTGTCGATAACCGATCATAGCGATCCGTACGCGCAATCGCTCGTTGGTCGTTCGACGATGCGCGAATTCAAAGTGGTCGTGCTGGGCTCGGGTGGCGTGGGCAAGAGTGCCCTGACTGTGCAATTTGTGTCCGGCAGATTCATGGAGAAGTACGACCCAACAATAGAAGATTTCTACAGGAAAGAGATCGAAGTCGACAGTTCGCCGTGCGTACTCGAAATACTGGACACTGCCGGCACCGAACAGTTCGCTAGCATGCGTGACTTGTACATAAAAAATGGACAGGGTTTTGTCGTTGTGTACAGCTTGACCAACCACCAGACCTTCCAAGACATAAAACCTATGAAGGAACTTATCACTAGGGTGAAAGGGTCGGAAAGGGTGCCTATTCTACTGGTAGCCAATAAAATCGATCTGGAACATCAGCGTGAAGTTCCTACGATTGAGGGTAACACTTTAGCTCAGATTTGGGGTTGTCCGTTCGTCGAGGCCAGCGCCAAGAACCGTACCAATGTAAATGAAGTATTTGCAGAAATTGTGCGTGAAATGAATTTTAGCAATGACAAGGAAAAGAAAAGTTATTGTTGTTGTACAGTTCTATAAGCCATACCTATAATTTAGAATTTTGTTTTTGTGTGCATCAATGTCAAATGCTGCTGGTGATTTCAATTTATCAGGTAAGCAATGTATTCGATTACATGATAATATTATATCTAATAGACATTGTCTATAATGTAGATATGTTGTTTTAATTCAATTGTTATGAACTTGGTTAGATATGTGTCATGGTAGAAACTTATATCACACACCTAGGTAAAGAATTCAATCTTTTGTTTGTCTTGTATTATCTTAATCATAATAGGAAAATTAATTGTGTAATAGTTTAGCAGGTTTTGACATTATAAAAATTTGAATTTACAATAACCCATTATAATATGTACCTAGAATCTTTATAGGTATCTAATATATTTACATATATTTTATAGACCCAAAGCCCATTACAAAATCAAACAATTTTAATTTAGCTATTCACAAGGGTATCCATTTAAAGAAGAAAATGTAATTTGTTTAATAGGTATCTATTTATATTGATGACTCAACATTACCTTAAATAGGTACATTTAATTGACTTGTTTTAACATATTTTTTATTAGGTATCCATATTATTTTAATTTAGATACCATGGACAGATGAGTTAGGTACCTATTTAAAATAAAACTGATAAATTATTTAGGAAATCGAATAAATTACACAAAGTCATAACGATTTCTTTCTACCTTGGTGGATTAAAAAGTAATGTAGGTTTTTTACTATTGCTGGTCAAAGTTGGATATAGAATTAATTTGAGTTTATTATGTGTAGCCATCTCATATAGTACCTATTGATGAAATTCTGGACAAAATAGAAGAATAGGTACATACTCGGGTACTCACGTTTAAAACAAAATTTGTTAAAATTCAACATAATTTTTAAATTTTCACTTACTCATTATGATTCAATTTTTATCAATCAAGTTTTTCTTTCGGCGCTGACATTTTTTAAACCTAACTTGAAAAAATAAAACTTAACTTCATAACATTTATTTCAGTTCAGCCACAGAATACTGTAGATATGTATTATAAGTAAAAATGTTTCTCTCTAGGTATGATAAAAACATTTAAATCTTGCTACAAAAGTAAAACTACTTACCTAATAAAATTATATAATGTTTTCCACCAACTAGCAACATTGCACTTGTGTACACTAATGACTAAAACGTGTTCTATGTCTTTTTTGTTTGCCTTGCCTATTAAATGTGAGTAAATTAATAACTAACTAAATAATTAAACAGATTTGATCGGCCTTAGTAAGAGGGTAGATAAGCAAAAAAAAAAACATCACTGCTATAATTTTAGTAATGCCTCCCCCCAGAAAATCTGTTTGGATTAACACTGGTCCAGTTTTTCATGTTCCATCTCAGTTAGAACAGTTGAGAAACAAGCAGCTCTAAAATGGTACATTACTGTTATTTTTTTGTCATCAATATTTTTAGGGGTACAACCGCTATCAACTCGATTTTCAAATGAGGACTTATATTAAACAATTCTATTAATAAATGATATTTTAGTAGTTCAAATCAATTTCGGTGGTGATGTTTATAATTTTCGTCGAGATTTTCGACTACCCGTTGAAGAGTTATTAATTTAAGGATATTGGAAGCGAGGAGTTTCTGTCTTTGTTTTACACTCTTGAAATATAGGGATTTAGACGTGTTTTAATTCCAACGTACCGATTGATCTAGTGAAGCGATTAGAATTCCGGAAACAGAAAAAATTTGTCGTGAAGTCCACTCGAGATCGACTTTTCCACTTTTTAAATTTATCTCTTGAAATTCCAAAAAAAAACCATACTAATAAAAGAGTAATTAAAAAAATAGAATGTTTTAATTTTTTGAGAAATTAAAATCAAAAATTAAAAAAGTGGGAAAGTCGATCTCAAGTAGACTTTACGAAAAATTTAAATCTGTTTCCAGAATTCTAATCGCTTCACTAGATCAATCGGTACGTTGGAATTAAACCACGTCTAAATCCCTATATCTTACGTATGTAAGACAAAAACAGAAACTTGTCGCTTCCAATCCCCTTAAGAGAAATAAATAAATAAATTTCCACATTTTTAAGTTTGAGAAATAGGAAAGTAGTGGGGCACTATTCGAATACTTCGTACCATGCCACTACACAAACGATGTTTTACTACTCTTCTTCTACTCAAAATTAAAAGTGGAATATCTTATCATCAGTCTCGGTGCTTGTTTCAAAATTGTTCTAAAAAATAAAACCGAATTCCAAAATAGTCAATACTTTTCGAACTATCCCTGAAAATATTTAGTGTCAGTGACGTAGTCTAGATTTATCAAGGGGTGATGTAAGGTGTTTAGTAGTTTAAACTTTATAATCTTCTTAAACTTAGGTAAAAAAAAAAGTAATGAAGGGTTACAACACCTAAAACCACCCCTATCACTGGCTACGCCACTGTTTAGTGTAGACACTTAAATGGATTATCTCGTGTTATAAAAAAAAGATATACTTCGCACAATGGGTGAGCCACTGTTGTAGTTGAGAAGTTGGAGATGTAGGTTATAGAGGGTAATTTAATGTATATTTGTATGTAACGATTAATCATTACTAACGAAAAACGATTCTGAGCAGAGTTTGGTTATACATATTTTGAAAGGCCGTAATATTTATGATTTTCGTCAAAATCTGTAACTGAAATTAATATTAAAAATAAATTCTACATTACTAAATTTTTTTTTTTACCACAAAGTATTACTTATAATGAACATTATGTTAAATTTTCAAGTATTTCTGTTCGGTCTAACAATTTTATCCACCGAGTACAGATATAATTGTACTGCCTAATTTCAAGTCTATGAGCATTTTAAATTGAATCTTCATATAAAATCAAATTGAAAATTTTGTAAATTTTCCCGTTTTTTTTTTTTTTTGACGTATTTTCTCAATTACTATGAAAACTGCTCAGAAAAAATTTAGGCACTTGCTTAAAGTACCTATTAGATAAAACTCCCTTTCAGAAAAGATGTTATGCTAGAAAATCTGAACAAAATTTCTGATAGAGAAGTTGTTCACAGGAAAAAAAAACAACAAATAATTAAATATTGTAAAACCAATAAATTCCTCGCTCCGCTCTTCAGAATCTAAAAAGTATGCCAAACTGAATTGATCTTGGAATTATTATCGTCAGACTATGACGATGCAATATATTATTTCCTTTCGAATAAAATGGTCATAGGTACCTGGATAGGAAAGGAACGATGAAATAAATATTTAAACTACTTGAATACCTACCTAAATATATTATATGCTTTATAAATCATAATTTATAGGTATAATTCAAATAAATTATGGTTCAAGAATAATTTTAGTATAATGAGGTCAACTAGTTACTACTATCTATTAATAGAGAACAATTTTTATTAAATGAATCCAAGTATATTAGATATATTCAATATAATAATAATATATTTTCTCTGATATTTTCAAATATTTAGAAAACAATTTGAAATTTCTTAATCAACTGTATTGTCATAAAAAAATCTGAACATCAAAACTTTTATTTATAATAATATTTCGATTTTGATTAAAATATGTTGTTTAATGTGTCCCTCGCCAGCTCGTTTTTGGCTCATAGATTGATCCGTTTTTGACTAATTTTTTTTTTTTTTTGGTGAGATAAAAGATTTCCTTCTGGTGCATTCAACTCCAATTTTTGAATATTTTTATCTCTAACTTCGTAGTCTAGAAGAACAGTGTAGTAGAACAACTAGCTAAATTGTTATGCTTATTTTCGCGAAGTCATTTTCGTTGGGAAAATTAGACCGGGCCTCCTTTCCCCCTAAATGGTTACCATTCGGGAATTAGATAAGTGGAAAAATCTTATCATTAAGATGTTTATAACAATTTTCAAACTATCGCAGAATTATTGGAATACATATTTTGGAAAACCGATACCGGGCCTAAGACACGGTCTTTCCCGGCGTTATTATTGACATTCAACGGAATCGTATCGAGTTTGGGATATTAGGTTATGGTATGTTTGCACGTTGATACGATTTCTGCATTATATTAATGTGCAAGTAGAGAGCAATATCGAATGAATATACGTTATACCCAGGCAGTGTTTTGAATAATATTAATACTTGTAGCGAAGTTAAATTTAAAACGAATTCCGTATAGCGTTCACGCCCGGGTCGGGTACGTGGCCAATTGTTATTTTTCGTCCGATTGGCCTTTTTTCGTATTAGCATATTATTATTATACCTACCTAAACCTAACATAGGTACGTACGTTTTTACCGCGGTGCTACACAGTATTAATTTACGCACGGGCGGCCGTGTACAATGCCGCCGGCCGCCGTTTGTTGGAACGTATTTACGCAATCGTCATTCGTCGTGGCGACTGCTAATGTTTTAAACAGCGCCTAATGGCACTAAACGATCAAACCGTAATGTTCCGAGCGACTCGAGTCGACGGTCAATAATAATACGAATATTGTTCCCGGCCGTGTCCACTATAATACGATATGGTAAAACGCCATAGTCTTACGTTTATGAAAATCTGGTACGCATAAGTACCTAGTCGATTTTAATAACATTCGCCGGCGTTTCGATAACGACGGCAATAAAATATTACAGTAATAATAATTATCGAGTCGATAATTATTATTATTATTATTATTATTGTCATTGATATTAATATAATGAGAACGTCGACGACGTTCGAGAAACGTTTGCTCGTATAAAAATAATAATTTGGAGACGACGGTTGTTGTGTTTAATTAAAAAATGCCCGTCGACCTAATTCTTTTATTATTTTATCCGAACGACGATTATTTTAAATTATAATAAATTCAGCTAACCTTTGCGCGGTTATCGGACTTGCTATACAGTTCTGTCGTGCACGGTTTCGTCAAGCGTTCGTAACACGTCGTCTTCGGAATTCTTTTTAGGGTATGACGAACGGGGAGATATTTCGCCCATCTGTTTAGATATCATTTTGTATATATTTCGATTCATTGTTATTATTATTACCGCCGCTTGTCGGTAGAGATTACCAGGCAGTGTTTACGACAAAAAATAAAAAAACCCGCGAGTAGTTTGCTTTTTAGAGGGTTTCTTTATCTAGTGCACACGTTATTATTATTATTTTTTTTGTTTATAATATAATATCTTATATCATTGTTTGATACTGTATTGTGTTGTTATATTTGTCTATTATTGGTGCCCCGGCTTTAGTTTACATTACGAAAACAGGATGTGTGTTCCGTGAAACGATTTTGATAGAATATATGTGTATATATTTTTTTTATTTTTTTTTTTTTATTATGGTCAGAATATTATTATTATTATTTAAAATGTGATTAATTCGTCCTTATCTACATATTTTACACTGTATTGCTAACGTTCTACTCGTTTTGCGTACGTGATGATAATAAATACTTGCGACACGACTTTATACGGGAGATTACGGTAACCGCGCGCGACTGCCGCCGCAGCGGCAGCAAGCTGTGTAGTTGCGTTGCATTTGTCGTCATTCGCATTTTATTAATGATAATAATAATGATTGCATTTTAGAAGATAACACCTTATGTACCATCCGATGGAAAGGTTCTTAACGTTATTCCGACGATGTTTGTTTTTGTTTTTGTTTTTCCCTGTTGCCGGGTCAGAGGCATTATAATATTGTAATATCGGTAAAACTCGTTTTGCCCCGGTGTGTTATTCGAGAATAATATTATTAGTATATTATTATACAAGCCTTTCACCGTGTTATCGCGTTTTACGCGCATTACGCAGCCACAGTGTGTAGGTATCGTGTTTTCACTTGAAAAACTGTAAATTATAATAATAATATCCGTCTAGCGCTGCCGCACGTGTGTGGGAGGCCCGGGCTTCCGATTGTTTACGAGATATTTACGGCGTTCGACGACTGCTGCGGCAAGGGTCGAGAGACCTTTTCGGTTTTTTCTCTTCTCGTCGGCGCACGCGATAAAATCCGTATAATAAGTTCTAATAATAAACACCGAGACTCCCGTTGAGTTAGAAACGAGGTACCTAATGTCGCGTGTACGCGGACTGCTAATGACCACGATAAGACGCATATCGGGTACGTTTTTAAGACTAGAATACTAGGTATACTCATTGAGTGACGCGTTCACGACAATAAAAGCAACGGCGGCCTTGTATTTAATTGTTCTGGTTTCGTTTCTCCGGACGCGGGACACAAACCAAGAGACGCGCAACAAAATAATATTAATGACTGACAACAATGAGTGTTATCCCTTTCGATTTCGGATTCGAATAAAATCCGATTTTATCAACTACAAACCGTACCGAGTATCCGGCACGGTTATTGATGAATGTATAGACCCTACGGTGTTTCACCACGAAAGATACAAAATATTCCCAATCCCGGTTGATGGTACTAAATTGGCCATCAACAACCGCCATGTAACCTAATCGTATAGAATTCGTATTGATCGTAATTAAATCTTAACGGATATTATGGTATTTTTGAATAATGTTAACGTAATTTATTTTTTTTTTTTTTTGTATATAATATACACAATTTGTATATAGTACACATACTCGTTCCCCTGTGTTTTCGTGATTTTTTTTTTTTTTCTTTGGCACGTTCAGGTGTGTTGTCATAAGTACAGCGGGTTTATTTTTATAAAGTTAGTAGGTAACCGTTTGTTTTTTCGTACACGTCAGAATTTTAAATGGTTTTCCGAAGAAAATAACGTAGCTTAACTACCTAATTAACTTAATTTTTTTTTCTACAAAATTATTATGGATATAATTATATTAATTATTATATTATATTATTATAATTGTATTGGATATTGTAGTTTGATACTAAAGGTATTTGCATTGTCTATTCAGAAGGTCGTTAATTTAAAATATTTATCGGTTTTTTATTGACATTAATTTTGAATATTGGATAATAAAACAAATTTAAAACAGTCTCGGCACAGGGTCGTTATATCGTCGAACCCATATAAGGGTTAGGTTGGCTGGTTAAATATAGTTATCTGTTCGTGTAATTAATACCCGTCCACGATTATTTAATTTGATGGTTGCATTTTATATTGACGGCGGCTCTTTGGGTGTGGGCCCTAATAATAATAGTACATTGTAACCAAAATACCTAATACCCAATAACCTATATAATAATGCATAATTTTATTACACTGATGGAGAGGTACTCGTTTTTCAAACGGAATAATTGGTTTTGAATGCCTCCGGGTCGCGCCCGGAAGACCGCCCCGAAAAACACATTGTCTGCTAGTTAGAAAAAAAATAATATATCTAATGTATACACTATGTTTAACTAGCGTGTACTATATAGCTTGTAATAATAATAATCTAATATAAAATACACGTATGTGTGTATCGTATATATCTTATTTATTATCAAACACATCGTGTAGGGCGCGCGCAACTAAGGTGTGTGTGACAATTCGCGGAGCATAGTGGGAGGCTAGAGGGTCCCATAAATAGAACATGACCACTGCTGAAGATTAAATTAGGCCCGTCCCTCTGTTAAACAGTGCGAAACCCGATTCTCGTGATTGATACGCCGGACTGGCCCATAAAGTTTTTGAACCGCGGCACGAACCTAATGCAGTTGGAGTAATTTATTAATTTGAAATACTCATAAAATCGTAAATATAAGGAAAAACAAATAGAATATTATTATTGACTTTTAGTTTTTAAAAGAAAACAATTTTCGTCAAATTTTACAAAAAATAATTATTATCAAAGGCTAGTGGTATCGGTATGTCCTACATTTCCTGTTAGGTACAAGCATCACAGTTTGGTATAATATTATTTTAATTGTGGATTCAGACCAAATTATTTAGTTTGTACAATCATTATCAATAATTATATGACACACATTTATGTCATATTTAATCATTATAATTGTGTATGGGAAGAAAAAAATCAACCGTTATAAGTATTAGGTTATGTGAACAATAACATTGTATATTGTAAGTATGTAGCTGCGTTTAACAAATATTTTTACATTTCCCGACAAATTATTATGAAAAAAGTAACTAACCATGTAAGTTTTTTCAAGAATGTTTTATAATTATACAAGATGTTCCGCGGAAATATACTCAATGTAATATCTCTGGAAATAATAAAGATAGTCAAATTTTATTTTATTTTTTTATGTTTTAATAAAAAAAAAAATACATATGTCTGCAAGGCTGGAAAGTTTTGTAACACTGTGTGACATAAGTATTTCTAGTGAAAATAAATAAATATAATAATAAGAGGTACATTATTTTACATTTAAAAAAATATCTACATGTTGGAATTAATATTATTTGGGATTACCATCTATAAGTAAAAGTATGATGAGTAATATGAATTTAATATAAAATTAAAAAAAATAATCTTAGTCACCTCCAAAATTGGAGATTCACATAAATATTTAGTTTATAGTAGTAATTATAATCTATGTATTTAATCAATAATGTTAATTACTGACAAATAATTATTTTCTGCTTAACATCATTGCTCTAATATATTCTGTAAAAGTAGTAACATTTCATAAAATTGGTATTTTATATTAAATACCTATTAATATTTTAATAAAAATATATTTGATTTTTATTTATTTGATGAACTCTTTAATTATTTATACACAAAATAGTTAAACCAAATTAATTAATATATAATTGATATAATGATTTTTAAAAACATGAACATTTTAATGTATGAATAGTTAACTGTTTTATTGGTGTATTTTAATTTACCCATGACAATATTCTATCAATACATTACTAATACATTAAAACTTTGTCTATGAACCTCATTTAAAACTACAAAACTCAACAAAACGATTAGGTATGATGACCATTATACCTTTTAATAGCATAAGTATTTTTTCTTGTGGGCTGTTAAACAAATTTTATGTATTGAATATATATATTCATTCATATTTGATGAAATGTTTATTAAAATGTTTATTTTTTGCTTCCAGAAATTCGTCAAAATTCATATTTAGTAGTAATGGTACCAGGAACTAGTACCATTTGTTGTTCTCACTACAATTTACATATCCAGCTTTAAAAAGGGTACGTTTTCTAAAGACTGTTGATGATATTGATAATATACAAAATACAAATTATTAACATACTTACTAATTTTTTTTAATATATGAATCCACCTATCACATGTGGCACACTACTGTGAGTGCCATTTAATGTTACAATAAAAAGATAGAATATTTTTTTTTATTATTATTATTTAACTAGTGTTAAATATTTTCTGTATTGTATACATTTTTTTTTGTTATCGAAATGCAGGTTATATTGATACACAATTTTAAGGCAGGAATTAAATAATTATATAGCGTGTATTCCTGTCATAAAAAAAAAAAAAGGAAATAGACGGAATAATAATGGCCTAACTATTGTATATTGTTTTTAAAACTTATTATTTTGTAACACATATTTTTTATACTTTTTATACTTAAGATAAAAAAGATATAAAGAAAATATAATAGTCAATGAACAATGTTAGATTAAGAAATTTACGGAATTGTAATATAATAATATCTATTCAGTTCGTGTAAATAATTTATGGATTGAGACATTTTTTAATAATTTGTCTCATTTTTTATTATAATTATTTTATTATTATTATTTTTTTTTTTTTTTTTTTAGTGCATTAACATGTGAAATTGATCAAGTGGTTTTGCAGAAAGCATTATATACCAATTTTTTTGCCTTTGTGATATTAATTTTATTTTAACGCCATTATTCCAGAACAAAATTTATATAACTATAAATATTTTGATTCACTTTGTCAATAATGTTATGTTATGAAGTGATATCAAAATGGTTCCAGTGCGTCTGTCTTGCTTCACAATGCTATAAAACATTGTGTAAAGTCAAGTGCCAAAGATTAAGTCACATTTAAATATGTGACATTTCGATGATTCCTTAGCTATTCCTCCTTTTAGCTCTCTTTTTACTTTTAATAGTATCTAATGTCTTCTGCAATCTTCACACTATTATAATATTTTAGACTTTTCTATAATAATGTAAACATATTTTATTTTATTATTACCTATTTATTATTATTTAGTAATATTTTATTTTCCACAATGGTGCGTACCTAATATTAATTTTTCCTGTATTTGTGAATAGCCTATATTTTTTTTTTTTTTTTTTAATATATATATATATATATTAACATAAGAGTCAATGAATTTTTTGGTATGATAATTACTTGATTCTACCATATATATAAATAAATAAATAACTAAATAAATTTGTATTTATAGAAATTTATAAATAAGAAATTATACATGTGTATATTATATTATATTATACATTAATACAATTATGTATAATAAAAATGGAAATTATTTAAAACTTTGATGTGTGTATTTAATAATAATATTTATATGTCTGTTCTAATTCTAGTTTCATATTGCATAGTATATTGCATAGCATTAATTAATGCCCAGTGAAAGTGTATATATGGTTGTTTTTGTGTGGATAACAATTTTTTGGAAGACAGAAGTTATATGTTCAACAAAGCAGAACGTAATTCAAACGTGTTGAATGTTATCACTTCGTAATTAATGTCTGTGCTATATAGTAAGTGAATATAATCTACAAAACAGCTCAATGCAGACTAACTGTACATAACACAATAGTAATTATTTATAATTGCAATAAATATTGCCTTTTTGAAATAATAAATCAAATAAAATAATTTATTCAAAGCATTTTTTTTTTTTTTTATTACTTAAAAGTATATTTAATTTTTAAATGTAGTTTTTTACTGTTAACTATATAAAGTAAACATTTAAAAGTTGTTAATGGCCTGTACTTAGATGTTTATTAGTGTATTTATGTATTATAAATTACAGAATATAATCTATCTATTACAAAATGTATATAGGTACTATGTTTATAGGTACTATTGTGATTAATGACATAATATTATGTTAATTATACTATTGCAGATTAATTTTGTTAATTTTATATTTTATATTTAAACGAATTTGAATTATTGTGTAGCTGTTACCATAATGAGATAATAATATTATAGTACCTACCTAATTGATAAATAATTAACTCTATTTTAAATTTTGTTGTTTTTTTTAATAGTTATATTCAATACATATTTACATAAGAGTAGAAACCAAATATTAATTTTAGAGTTTGTTTATATTTTTAATAATTACTTAAGTTCTAACTGGCTGCTAAAATTGTGTAATGCAAGTTGAATTAGTTATATGTTTCAATTAAATAATAATTTGTATAGTGATTCAGTAAAAAAAAAAAAAAAAAAATGGATATTAGAGTATAGAGACTGTCAGACTGGGTTTTGTTACTTGTTTCGTTAGCCTTGGTATTAGTATTGTATTTATATTACATTCCCAACAATGATAAGTCAATAATTTTCAAACAATTATGAATAGAACTTGATTTTCCTAAAAATAGTGATTACCTATAGCATAGTTTTCTAATGATTTTATTAAATTTGACCCCCTCCCAACTACTCAGTTTAAGCTGACAATTTGAAAACTTTGATAATAATATAATGTGAAGCAAATTTGAAATCAAAATAATTAATTTCTTTTTTTTTTTAATACATTTTGTTCATATTATATTATTATTGTATATTCATTTTTCAATTAATTAATCTCCATCAAATGGGGAGTAATAATAATACACTTTATATATTTTGAATATTTTTTACTTTGTCAATAATAGTATTCAAAAAAAAAAGTGTTAATTTGGACAGATGTGCCACTATTGTAGGTGGAAAGTTCAGAAGATTGAATACATTAAGTTATTTAATTTATGTTTGTAAACAATGATAAACTATTGATAATAAAAAGCGATTTGGAGCAAAGTTCGGTTCGGTTACATGTTTTGAAAGACCAAATTATTTACGACTATTTACCATTATTAAACTGGTAGAAAACATAAAGCGTGCAAATGTAAAATAATGAAATTGTTACACTGTACATATTTGTAATTTTATCCCTATGTTTTTTTCTGGTTTTTCCCAATTATTTTAAAAATAACTTAGAAAATCAGAAAAATTACTTCTAAAATACGAACAAGATAAAATTTCCTTTTAAAAAAGATGCTACGCTTGATACATCGGAGCAAGATTTCTATTGGAAATTTTGTACAATGTATAAAAAAAAACATCATTGTAAACCCAATTTATTCCTTGCTATGCTCCACATTTAAAAATTATACTTGACTAAATATGAACAAATTAATTAGGTAAGTAATTATTGTGTATACCTACAATATTTTCTATTTGAATTGAATTATTAATTTAATGTTTAAGATAATTTTGATTTTGTAGTTATCATTATATAATAAATGATAATACTAAAAATGTAGAAAGTAGAATACATATTATGTTTCTAGTATTGATACAATTTTTTTTGTGTTTGCCGGGATATTATTTATAATCAGAGGTATACAATTGTAACGTATAATATTATATTTTAAATTAAATTATTGTAATTTATTGTTAATGTTCTGTGTAATTCAGTGGTGTAATATTTATAGGTACATTGTGTAAGTAAGTAAGTACCAAGTATTTGTATCTATGAAAATAAGTAACTACTTATAACTAAATATTTTAAAGAGTATTATATTATTCATGCAGTTTTAAAGTTATATATTAAAATAAATTGGTTTGTATACATTTTTAAATCATGTTATATTTATAATATTATTACTTAAAATCATTAATTAGCACATATGTGAAAGCGATTAAGAAGGCAAGAACATAATGTTTTTTGTTAATTGCCACTGCCTTTGGAAGACGTTAGAAACGAAATGTAGATCAACAAGTAATAGAAAATATTCTTGTTTTGCTTGAACTATGATCGTTACTATACTATACTCATAAAATATTATATTGTGCAAAAAGTCGAGAAATTGTTGAATGTCCAAGTGCATCCAACCTTTTTAGTAGATATCTGCCAAATAATATGTATCTATTAGAAGAGTTCCATTTTTATTTTTGTGTTTATTATAATATATCATGTGTTGGATATGTGCCTAGATACCTAATAGTTTGTTTAGAATATTATTCATGCAATAAGCGTAGATATAGGAAGTGGTTGAATCATAAAATTAAAATAAAGGAATTATGGGATTTAAAAGAAAAAAAAAATAGAACCCTTTGGTAATTAAAGTCAAACTAACTTATTTTGTAATAAATACATTTGTTGTAGGTATCGATAATAAAAAATTGAAAGTCAGTAAAGTTGAATAATTTCATTCGTTTTATTCCTATAAAATTTAGTTAGCAATCATAGTTTATGTTAGCTTAATAATAATTAGTGTCATCTCCATTTGAAAAAATTTCATCATAGAAATAAAAATTAGGTTTTGCAAGTATATTTCAGCAATACGAATGTGTTTCAAGGTGTGCGAAAATGTGTTATCTCGCTGGAGAAGGGGGCCCCTATTAGATAGTAGGTAGATACTTCTAATCTGTACATAGCAAAACGAAAATAATTTCACATTTAGGTAGATAATACATAATATAATAGGTAGGTACTATTATGTTATCAAGTATCAACTATTTAAATTTTAATTTCATTTTTAGTATATTCATTTAAATTCATCATATTTGGTAGGTAACTATAGCCTGTGGCGTCATGATGTATTTTTACCTTGAACCATTGACTTAAATTTTTTATCCACCCACCAAAAATACCCCAAAATCTATAAACCAGTGATAAAAAAGACGGACATACATCACACGATGGGTGGGCCACTGTTGTAGGATAAGATGTGCAATGGTAATGTATACTATCTAACCAAATAACCAGCGGCGTACCAGTGAAGGGGGGGGGGGGGTCTGGTAACGACGTCTCACCTACCGTGAGCCGTATAATATTAATTATGTGTGTGTAATGTTATTTGTTTTTAGTGTTTTTACAATTATTTTGAAAAATGTTTTTTTTATGAAGTACCTAAGTAGTTAATAATATGATAACGTGGTCAAATCCATAGATTTTAAAATATTTTTGGCGAACCGGGTCAAGGTTTCTGGTGTTATCCATAAACTAATATATACGAAAATAATGGACTGGTCACGAACAGTTTATCAGTGGCCACAAATTAGTGTACAAGAGAAAAGTGTGAGGGTCGCAATGCAAACAAACGATTTACCAACGCTATCTGTTGATTAAGGTAACATTACTAACTGCTAATTTCCAAGCTCAATAATTAGCTTTTGGTTGCTAAAATAAAGAAATCGTAGAATTTCTGTTTACACCACTAGTCCATTCTTTCACACTACACTTCCGCGTAAGTATTCGTTATTATAATTTATTTATTAATGACAAATAATTTTAATAATAAATGCATAGGTACATATGAATTGTAAAAATATGAACTTTTTTTTAGTGGTAATGTAATTAATACAAATGTGATTCCAAATAAAACCACCGGCAGCGCTAAAACCCGTTGATCAACAGTGTTGTTGATAAAAAATGAAACTTTGGTATTGATCAACTGAGTTCCATCTCGAAGTAAATCTAATTATTGATTAAAAAATGATAATAAAAAAAATATATATATATCTAATATTAACTATTGGCTGTTTTAGATTCTGAGTACAGCGAAGAAGTTTATGGTTTTACAGTAATATTTATTATTATTATTATTTTTTTATCTGTGAACAATTTGTCTACCAAAAATATTGCTTTGATTCGCAAGTGTAGCTTTTTTTCTGAAAAGAAATTTGACTGGGGAGGTACTTTAAAAAGGTCATTTTTTTTTTATTTTCCCAGAAGTTTTTTCAATAAATGGGAAAAACTGGGAAAAAAGTGGTAAACCGGGAGAACGGGAATATAGGTTGGTACAATATTAAACAAATATTATTAAGGAGTATTCTGTGACAATATCAATATTAGTTTTTCAAATAAAAACCTTTATTGAAAATTCCACAAATAGACCGAGTATTACTTCAAATAAATTTTGGTGTCAATATTTTTGATTTCCATCAAACCGTTAACGAAATATTTCACTTTTAAGTTTAGGTAGAAGGAGAGTAGTGGAGTATCATTTTTGTAGCGGCACTGCGCTTGCCGTTTTATGAGTGTTCCACTACTCTTCCAGGATTTAAATACACGTATGCACAACTTAACCTAACAAATGGGGTGAGTATGTTTAATGAATTACCCTGTATATATATATGTATAGGTTTTTATATACCTAAAGTGTATTATAACTTTTGATAAATTGAATAATAAACGCATTCTTTTACCAGTAATATGGCTTTGAAACAGGACTTGCCACGATATATTTATCAGAGTGAACTGCGATAAAGTGCAATATCACAGGTGGGGCGGTTGATATATCGAAAATATTGAAAATTTTCGGTTATTTATTTTTAAGTCAAGTTTCTTATTCATCTTACTTTTAACCATATATTCAATTTCGTAGTCACATGTCTAATGTTACACAGTGCTCAGTATGCTGCACATGAAACTTTTACGAATAAACTGTAAAAAAAAATATTTAAAAAATATTTTAACCATAAAATATTGATTCATAGTTTTTTATAATGGTTATGCATATAATAATTAATTTGTATTATTATTTTATTGATTATGATACAAATTTAACTAAACACTTATTAACACATATTGTGTAAATGTTTATAATTTGGTAGTATTACGTCTTTATTTCTATTTCTCTATTTTTCTCTTTTTTTTATTATTATTTGTAACTTAATTTAATTTTTATCTCATGTGTATTATAACTCCCTACACCACCTCAATCTCTGCTTAAAAGTTTAGGTAATTTTTGTTATTTTTATTAATACTTTGTATGTTATATTATATTAATATGATAGTAAATTTTTTCTATATAAAAAAAAATTAAATTATTTACTTATTTACTTCTTTAACAAATGTATATATAATTTTACCATTTTAATGCCCAAACGTGGTATATTTTTAGGAATATCGAGTGCCGAAGCATTGTGTGTATTTTGAATCCACAACTGTGATGCCCATGTCCTAAACTTCCATTTAGCGCAATCTCCATCTCGCATATACTGGCTGTCCTTGAGCAGGAATTAAAGAATTTATTTATCACACAAATAATTTGAATTTTTATATTTTCATTGAAAATGTCACAGCGACAATTGTAACTAAATTGTCTCCTCGGACTTTGAAGACTTAACTAAAGGGGACTGATAATTTTATATTAAATAAGTAGGAGTACTGTGCGTTCTTCCGCAACCCACATTCAAACCACCGGCTATTCTCCGTATCCAGAGTAGTGGTTGCCGGGCTATCACGACATGATTGTATCAAATATGGCATCAAATTGTATTTTCAATTCACTTAAAACAAAAAATGATTGCCCGACATTTCGGGGGAGGGGACAGGCTTGAGCCCGGAATCTCAATCTCCAGCAAGGGCGCTGATCGATTACATTATACGTACGTATACAGTCTTACAATTATTTAACGGACTGTGAGTTGAATTATTTCTTTACCTACCATATTATACTACGCAATATAAATGTCGACGAGAATCGTAAATGTCACGATATAAGAACTGGCATTACAATGCACGAGCCAGTGCAGTTTATTTATACTCGCCTGCTCTGACGGGCCGTTAAATGAAAATAATAATATTTATATTGAATCGTGGATATACAGGGTAAGAAACTATCCGCCTGTTGTGCGTCCAGTCTTAAGAGGGCCGTAAACAAAATAATAAAAGTGAATTTGGGAACTCTGCAGTGCTGATGACACTATTTATATGATTACTTATTAGTTTAACGTGTGTGCATGTTCTGCAGGTCCTCGTGGTTGGTAAGACAGATTGTGAATCGTACACTATAAATATAACTACATTAACCCATGAACCGTTTGGTTAATTTTTACCGTAAGAAACATTTTTCTCGTGATATGAAAGAAAATAGGTGTTGTTATACAAAAAGGCTGTTTTTAGTACGCACGCGTGCACCGAAAGGATAAAAATTAAAATATATCCTAGAGTGTGTTGTATTTCAGTACCCTCCATCCCCTAATTAGATTCCCAAAAACGGAATTCAAATCCAGGATCATCAGGCCTCATCATATTTAGTGTTACCTGAAAACGCGAACACACTGT